GTCCTGCGTGGTGGGAGGGTTGGCGTGGAAGGCGGGCCGGGCGTGCAAGTGAGTGAGTGAGTGAGTGAGTGAGTGAATGAGCGAGTGAGCGAGTGAGCGAGTGAGTGAGCGAGTGAGCGAGTGAGCGAGTGAGTGAGCGAGTGAGCGAGTGAGCGAGTGAGTGAGCGAGTGAGCGAGTGAGTATATGTGTTTGTGCCAAGAGGAGGGGGGGAGGAGGCAGGAAGATTGATGACGCCTCATGAAACTCTTTCCAGCGGGGTGCGTGTCTGTGTGTCTATGTGTGTAAAAACACCGCACCTGCGCCGTGGCGGTCACCATAACCCGTGTCACCGCCGCCATGCGCTCGTCCTTGCCGAGGGCATCCTGCATGTCGTACACGTTGAGCGACAGCACCTGGGAGGTGAGGGGGAAATCGCGGGGAAAGGGGGGAGGGGCGGGCGGGCACGAAACGTGGACAGGGTGTAGGCTTTACTCTACTCAAATCAGGACCCAAACTGGTTCGCCAGCTCCAAGTAATTGAACTTAAGGTTTAACTTGACTTTTATAGAAACTTTATAATAATCTTAAAGAAATTATACAACTTAAAATTAAGATTTTTCCCCGCGCGCGCGTCTATGTATGTGTGCGAGAGAAATCGCTGTAAAAAGAGTTGCGGGAAAGGAACATATGATGTGTGCAAAAAGAGGCACAAAGTATCGGGAAGTATCGTCGGGAACGCCAACAACAGGAAAAGAAGTGGGCGGAAGAAAAAAAAAGAGGTGTGAGGGAGAACGCAATCACACAAGCCAACCTCTACCCACTGGTGTTCCTTCCCCCTGCCCTCCCACCATACACACATTACACATACACACACACTTTCCCCCCCCTCTTCTCCCCCCCCCGGCCCCCCGGGGCACTCACCTCCCTGTCGGGCCCGCACAGCGCCGCCAGCAACGCCAGCGGGTCCAGCGCACCACGTCCAAGCCCCACCGCCCGGCGGACCAGGGGCGCGTGTTCCCGCAACTCGGACCGGGCGGCGCGGCTGTTCTCCCACAACTTTGCCAACTTCTCATCCACCGGGTAACAGTATATGCCGCGAGTCTCGTGATCCTGCAGGGCACTGTCCCGTACAATGCAGTACGGTGCGGTGCAGCACGGTGCGGTACGGCAGGATTACACGGAGTATTCCTAGTATGATGATGTGTGTTTTTCTTGGGGGGAGGTGGGGAACGGTACCGTGGCTTCCACATTCCACCCACTCCCAGCGACGCCTAGATGTCCTCCCCGTCATCCTCGTCAGGCTCCCCTCCCCTCCCTTCCCCTCCCCCACACACCACCACCACCGCCGCCGTCCGCAGCACTGCCTTCTTGCTCGGCATCGATTCCTTACCACCACCACCACCAACAACAACAACAACAACACGACTGGCCCCCTTTTCCAACAATCGCCCGTTCTTCGTCGTAAAACCTCCCAACCCTTCACTAACGCACAGCGATGTGATCCCCTCCCTCTCCCTCTCAGCAGCAGCTTCACTCGTTCGTGGTTCGTCTTTCCCCTCTCCCTTCCCCCTCCCCCCCTCCCCACTCACTCGGCGCTGTGCTCCAGCAACGAGTCCCCGATGTTCCTGATGTCCTCGTGCAGCTGCCGGCACTGGGGAGCCGACATACCCACCAGCACGGCGTGGGGCAGGTGCTCCAACAGCTTCTCACGAATGCGGTTAGCGTCCTTGGACTGCGGGGAAGGGGGGTGGGCGCGGGGAAAAGAAGGGGGGGGAGCGGGTTACTCGTACTGCGACAGGGAGGTAATCAAGAGCATAGCTAGTTAAATTGGGGGTGGGGGAGGCGGGGCAGGGGCCCCCCCGGGAGTTGTGAGGTCGTGTACAGGCCACGAAGTCCTAGAGCCTGGTGGGATGGCCATTGCAAGTGTGTGTGTGTGTGAGCATATGTATGTGTGTGCGTGTGTGTGCGCGCGTTGAAGAAGGGACAAAAGCCGTCCAGTAATGAAGTCTCTTCCTCCGCCCGTACCGGCGATCCTCCCTCCAGTTCCGCCTGGCCTACATGTTCCCAGAAACAGCCCCCTCTCCCCCCCTTCCTCCCCCCTACCTGGCCCCTCTCTTCCCCTCCCCTCCCCCCCCCCACACACGCACACACACGTGCTCGCCTTCGCCGGGTCAGTGAACACGGCCCCTGCGCCCTGCCCGCTCCGTCTCAGGTTGCCAGACAACTGCCCCGCGAAGAAGAAGTCCACCAGGTTGCCCAACTCGTTGAGGAACACAACCGCCGTGTTGTTGGGCTGACCCGTGGCGGGGTTGACCTCCTGCGGGGCGGGGTAGAGGGGAAAGACGAACCACGTGAACGAGTGAAGCTGCTGCCAAGGAAAGAGTGCACAAGAAGTAGAGGGAGAGGGGAGAGACGGACGAGAGACGGACGAGTGAAGCAGACATATAGACGGATATTCCAAGGGGGAAAGCGGGATGATATGCGTGTTTGCGTGTCTATGTTGCGTGTGTGCGTTTACGGTTTTGCGTGTCTCTGTGTCTGTGTCTGTGTGTGTATGTATGTGTATAGAGCGGGTTGGGCGTGTAGGTGAGTGGTAAGTGGGCGTTAGCTTTTTTCCTCCCCCCCTCTTCCGTCACCACCTCCTCCATCCCTTCGGTCACTTCATTTTACCTCCTAAACCATAATCCATGTGCGCTACCATGCGGCGCTGCTGCTTTCTTTCACCACGTCGTACCGCCGTACCTGGTTGCCGTACACAACGATACACAGCCGTGGGTTTGTGAGGAACTCGTCCTCCGCATCCGCCAGGGGCAGGCGCAGAGGACCCGCTGTGGCCACCTGCCACAGGGCGTCCGAGTACCTGGGGAATTGGAAAAGGAGGCCGTGCGTGTGTGTGGGGGGGGGAAGACGAACCACACACGATTGAAGCTGCTGCCAGGGCAAGAGAGTAACCAACGTAGAACTGACCGAAAGGCGTCCGTGGCGACCGTGACCTCGGGATGAAGAAGTGAAGATGATGTCGGAAAAAAACAAAACTACCTACCTAAGCCGCCAGAACTAAAAACGCGGAGTAGTATTGCCAATCCGTAAAGAAGTAGGAGTAGAAAAGTAGTAGTAAAGGCGGCGGAAGCGTAGTGAAATGGTGCTGTCGTAAAGGTGGCGTAAAATTGCTGGCCTGGAGAAATAGCTGATTTGCTGATGCTGAAAAGGCTGTCGGTATGCAAGTGCTCCTCCCAACCCCCAAAAAAAACTAAAACGCGCGACCGACCCGACCGACCCGACTAATCTATTCCGGCTAGCCGACCGACGGCAACGTGATATACCAAAGAAGCTCGAACCACCCTTTGGACTCACCTGGCCAGGCCGCAGAAGTAGTGGCAAAAGGCACATGCAAAGCAAAAGGGTAGGAAATAGGTGAGCCGGGTGCGATAAAGGACAAGGAGACATGCGAATGCTGCTGAGGAAAAGTAGTAACTGGCTGGCGGATTTGAAAAAATTAACTAAGAAGGAAAAAGAAAGGAAAAGGAAACAGTTAAGAAAGAAAAAGCATGCGACGTGTCGTACCGGATGAAGGGATGATGACGCAGTGAACGATTGCATAACAGGTAGTAAAGGCGTAACGGGGTGAGAACAATTTTGGAAAAAATACAAAGCTTGTGCAAAAAAACTGTGCAAAAAAGCGGGGGCAGATGAAAATAGTGCGTGGGTCGGGGCCACATATGGCTCCCGCCAAACCGTGCGCACCAGGAGCATCTGCATGCAACTCCGTGGTGCCTAACGGGAGGGGCAGGAATAAACGTATTAAGGGCAGGAAAAGAAGAACTACAAAGGAGTAAAGGTAATTAGGGGCAGGATAGAGAGTTGCAGGAACAAGAGTTAGTGAAGCGAGGAAGGAGAATTAGGAAGCAGGGTAGGGAGCAGGTTAAGGATGTGAGAAAGGATATCGAAGCCATTACGGCGTTGTACTAAGAAGAGTTGTGGCCAGTAGAAGAGTTGTTGAGCACATTGTATCTCAAGGCGCCGTCGCGGGTAACCTTGCACAACGAGTTGTGCCATGAGGTTAGCCACGGAATGCGCAAAATTCTGAACGTCCGTGATAATGCGCTGTAATCTACGGAATTGGCTGATGAAAATATTTCGTTTTGCTGCTTCATTAACGGACGAGGATGCATGAACAAAGCGAGAAAGGCGAATATCTAAAAAAGCTGATTGCTGTAGCTTATCATAAAGATGAGTATCATACCAACTGCAGCCGTTACGTAGGGTATGTACTAAAAGGATATCTAAAAAAGGTGTTTTGCCGTCGGGGTGTTGCTGAACTGGAATTTCAAGCTGAGGGGGGTAAATACCGCGCAAGGTGTGGGGTCCGACTGATTCCGATAGGTAGAAGAGGAGGGATGATAGGTGTGGGTTTCCCAGGGAGAGGAGGTCGTCGAGGTAACGTTTAGTAAACTGAAAAGATTTAAGGATAATTTTATTATGGGAAGAGGTAGTAGAGGAGTAGAATTGGTGTAAGAATTTATATTCATGCCAAGCGAGGAAGAGGTTTGCAATATAAGGGGCCGGGGATATGCCCATGGGAATTCCGCAGATTTGTTGCACGAGGTGCGGGCCAAAGCGAATGAAAGTAGCGGAGAGAAGTGCGGTAAGGAGGGTAACCAGGTCGTGGACCGAGAAGTACACGGTCTGGGAACCATCGGCGTATGAAGAGTAACGGTGTGCAGGGGTAGGGCCTTCACAATATTCGGACGTGAAGGAAGGGAGGGCGATCCCAGGTTTGGGAGGAAACATGCGGACAAACAAGCAGGTGACGTTAGCGAAGAGAAAGCAATGATGGATAAGTTCTTCCAGGACAGTACGGAGGAGGTGGTGTGGAAGATTAGTGTACAGGCGGGTAAAGTCACGAGCATGAGCTGGATGAAAGTCGGGGTGTATAGGACGGTCGGAGGCACGAGCGGACTGTGCGCGGGCAGGTGACGAGGATGCACGGGTATGCATTGGAGGAGGGGCGGTAGGTTGAGCAGAGGGGTCGTGTAAGGGGGAGGAGGTTTGTGCGAAGTTGGCAAAGACGGGAAGTTGCGCTGCATTGTAACGATGCACCATTGCAATGACTTCAGCTGAGTTTTCACAGAACCATAAGGGGAAATCTGGCAAACGGGCTTTCCAAAGTTTCCGAAAAGTGTCCGTAAGGAGTTGAAGTACGGAGGTGGTAAGAAGGGCGAGATGTGTAGAAGGGCAGGACTGGGAGCAAGCCAGGAAGCGCATGGAAGGGGGATTTTTGTGCATTTTAAGGGTACCTGCATAATATGCATCTGGCAACGATGATTGAAATGGGTGTGGGGGGGGGGGGAGACGAACCACGAACGAGTGAAGCTGCTGCCAGGGCAAGAGTGTGTTGGGGGAAAGAGGGGATTTGTAGGGGGGGTGAGTGCAGCGGGGGGTGTAGCGGGGTGCTACAGATCATCGCACCCTTTGCCCCTTCCCCCATCCCCTCCCTCTCCCCCCAATACACACCCCTACACCCCTACACATACATACATACATACGCACGGACTCACTGCCGCAGCGCGGACTCCCGGGCATCCGCCAACAGCTTGGCCTGGAAGTGCGTTCTGAAGGCCGGCAGCAGGTGCTGCTCCAGAGCCGACTTGACGATCTCCAGCCGCAGGGTGTTCCACTGCTGGGCGACAGCAGCTCGATCACCTGCGGGAGGGGTCCGGTGGGGGGAGGGGCGGGTGGGGGCAGGGCGAGAGAGAGGGAGAGAGGGAGGGAGAGCGGGTGAAGGACCTGTGTTTATGTATGTATGTACGTGGAAAGAGCGTCGTCACGCCATCCCCACTACACTCACTATTCTATTCTCGACCTCTCAAGACAGGAAGGAATGAGAGAGCTCCGAAACCTCCAACCCTTTCCCCCGCTCCCCCAAACAATCTCGACCCCTCCATTCGCCAGACAGGCCCCCACTATACACCCACACAACCCTAAACCCCTACCCGCTTTATCTTCCAACCCCCCAACACACCACCCCAGGACAACACCCCCCCAATCCCCAAGCTTACTAGACTGGTACAGCTCCGCCACATCCCCCACTAGCTTCTCCTGCTGTCCCTTCTCCAGGTGCAGCAGCAGGTTGGCCAGGCGCTCCCGGTTCGCCTCCTCCAGCCGCAACATCAGGTCAGAGCCACCAAAAGAGTGGAGCGGCTTCTTGCGGAGGCGGGCAGCCAGAGCGTACCTTCAGCGCCGGGGTGTTAAAAGAGGGGAGAAAAGGTTACACACATGCTCACCGATACACAAACGGGGCGACGAAAACGTTTTTGGGGAGGATGTATGTCTGTGTCTGTCTGTGTCTGCAAGATATGCGCGCACGGGGAAGGGTAGGTGCTTACCCACGCTGCGCTAAAACTCACACACATACATACATAAATACATACACCACATTCTGCAAGCACGCTCCGTCCCCCTCCCTCTCCCACCCCCCCGCTCTCGGGCCCGCGACCGCCAACAGGCCGGCGGCACCCCCTCCTAAAACCCAAAACAGATTCCAACCAACGGTCCTATGACCTTTCCCCCCTTCCCGCCCCTCCTCTCCGACATACATACATACTTGTGGAAGGGGTCTAGCACCGCCTGGCCCGCCTCCGTCGCGTCCGAGGACACCACTGCAAAGCGGAAGAACTCGTTGCGGAGGAAGGTGCGCACTCCCGCGTCGTTGACCAGGTTGGCCACCGCAGCGGCGCGGACCTGAGGTGGGGGAGATAAAGGGGGAGGTAGGGGAGTGAGGGGGAAAGAGGCGGCCGTGAGCAAGGAGGGGGAGATAAAGGGGGAGGTAGGGGAGTGAGGGGGAAAGAGGCGGCCGTGAGCGAGGAGGGGGAGATAAAGGGGGAGGTAGGGGAGTGAGGGGGAAAGAGGCGGCCGTGAGCAAGGAGGGGGAGATAAAGGGGGAGGTAGGGGAGTGAGGGGGAAAGAGGCGGCCGTGAGCGAGGAGGGGGAGATAAAGGGGGAGGTAGGGGAGTGAGGGAGAAAGAGGCGGCCGTGAGCGAGGAGATGTGCGCGGACGGCGAACAGGAGTCGGAGGAGAAGCCAAGACACGGGCAGCGGTGGGAGCAGCAGCGGCAGAGGTGGGAGGGGAACGATGTTCCAAAGGGAACCCACAGCACCACAGCTCACAGAACTAACCGAACAACTAACAACGAGGTCACGAGCGGGGAAGTGGTTGAGGAAGAACTGGTTACGTTCTTATATATATAGGCAGAGGAAGGGAGATGGGATAAATATATGTGTGTATATATATGTGTATATAATATACACATATATATATACATATACCTATCTTTTCCTTTTTCCCTTCCCGCCCCCTTCCTTTCTCGTTTGCCCTCCCCCCTTTTCCCCCCGTCCCCCGTCCCCCGCCCTCTTCCCCTCTCCTGTTCAGGCTCGTACCTGGCTCACGAGGTTGTCGGCTGTGAAGGACGAGATGGCGACATTCTGAGGGGTTGGGTGTACGGCAGTGGAGGAGAAATATAAGAAAGGATAGGGTGGGAGGGGGGTCGTAGGAGGCGCAGGAGAGGGCGTAAATCATCATTTAGTCGAATTTGCGCAAAGATAACTGCGCATGTATTCACCTCATAACACACCTCAGGGCGGGGCGGGGTGGGGGGGGGAAGGGAGGAAAGAATTGCATTTATTGGGAATTGGAGATGAGGACGAAGGGGTGGAGGAGAGATAGGGAACGAGCGAACGGATTGCAAACCCCCACGGCAACCCCCCCCTCTCTCTCTCAGACACACACACACACGCACACACACACACGAACCATGCCACATGTAGGCAACGTCCTCTCCCCTCCTCCTTTCCCCTCTCCACACGACCCAACATAAGGCCCCTGTCTAGCTGAGGCTCCGGACCCGTACAAATCACATCAGCCTCTCTTCTCTCTCTCTCAACCATACTAGATATATTGTAACGTGGATGTGTTTTTTTTATTTCCAAAACCAAAAAAATTAAAGCTGTATTCCAAAAAGAATCTTCCTTTTTGGGGGGATTTTTACAAAGCAACGGCTGGCGTCCGCGGGGCGCGGCGGGGCGGGGACGTGTGTGTGTGTGGGGGGGGAAGAGAAATAGCAACCTGCCGTACCTCTGGGTGTCTCGCTTTGAACGACTCCAGCGCCGACGTCGCCCAGTCCAGGACGGACCCCCCCGGGGTGGGCGGCTCGTGCACCGGGCCCCCCTGACCCGCGTCAGCTAGGTTGGCGACAAACTGCGGGGAAGTCAGACAGAAATCCGAAACAAGCTCCTGCGGGGGCAATGAGGTGAGGTGGGGTCGGTGGGTAGGTGGTTTTAAAAATTGCGTGAAGTGTGTTTCAACGTCTCAGAGGATGAGGGGGTTTATGAGCACGCGGTGTGTGCGTGGAGTGTGTATGGGGACGGGGTTGATGTGTGGGTGTGTGAATTCTTCTTCGGATCTTTCCTTTTCCCCGACCGATACAACGCCCCTCCAATGGCGGTGTGCTTCGAGGTGGTCGTTCCGGTTGGGGTTTTTACGGTTAGGTGCCCCTGACCAGCGTCAGGCCCGGATCGATATGTAACAGACACGTACATACATACATACATACATACATACATACACACATACACAAATACACACAGTCATAAGGCGGGAACACCCCCAACCCCAGCCCCATCCGCACACGTGCCTGCACTCCCAGCAGCCGCGCCGTCTTGTTCATGGTCCCCCTGTTCGGACGCCGTGTGGGGCCCCCCTGGCCCCCCCCCGTGGTGATGGACAGAGCCGCCATCTGCACCTCGGGGTAGGCGGACAGCACCTGACTCATGCGCTGCTGCACATCAGCCAGCGCCTCAGAGCTACCGGCGGTCTGAAGGGAAAGGAAGGAAAGGGGAGGAAAGCGAGGTGCGTGTGTGTGTGTGTGTGTGTGTCTGTGTGTGTCTGTGTGTGTGTGCGTGCGTGTGTGTATAGGGGCATTATACGTAAAAAAGGGAGCCGGGGTTAAGTCATGTGCAAAAAATGGGGACGACGCAAGGAAAAAAACAACGGACAAAGTGGCCACGTGCCGAAGTATACCAACAGCTAAAGGAGGCGAGTATTTACAACCCACCCCCACTCCACCCCTTTACATACACCCCCTCACGCCGTAAAAGCACACATACATACACACACACGCGCGCGCGCACACACATCGCGCGCATAAACGCACCTGTAACGCGTCCTGGCACTCGTCCAACGCACGCAGGTCAAAATCCAGCTGAGCCGCTCGCTCCCCGAGCGGGTCAATATCCACCATCATAGAGTGCAGCAGGTCCCGGGATCGAGCCAGAGCGGCGGCGGCTCTTTCCCGACGCTGCGTGAGGGAACGGAACTTGAGCGCCAAATCGAACACGGCCCACAGTACCGCCCACCTGCGCGGAAACAAACAAAACTTATCGCACCAGAGGTTGCCCTGACTATGAGGGTCTGAAAATGCTTTCCGATTAAAAAGACTTAAATATAGATAATTAAAAATGTCCTTTTTAATTAAAAATAACTTAAGGGTTTAAAAAACAAACAAATCAACGAGCCGACACTCGGGTATTTTGGGCGTCAGCAGTTATCTCTTATTTGGAGTTTCTCATCTTCATCAGGACCTTTCTCCCCGTCCTCCCCCCCCCCCGGCCCCCCGCCGTCCTCCCCTCTCCCATATCACGGTTTCACCCCCCTCCCCGCCCCCCTCGAAGTCAAAAATTTCACCTGCGAATGCGCCGATGATGCGGCTGTACGAAGCCCTGGTCGTAACTCTGTTTGCAGCGCACCCCCCGTTGTCGCTCTAGCTCCTCCTGTGTGGTCACCAGCGGCACGTCGTCCGCCGCCATGGCCAGCAGCGGCCCCGCCAGCTCCTTGCGGTACATGGCCACAACGGGAACCTCCTCATGCCGCTCGAAAAACTGCGTCAGGACCTGCGGGCGGATTGTTTTGGGGGTTTGGGGTTTCGAGGGAAGGGGGGGTTTCGGGGGGTTTTGAGGGGGGGAAAGGGAGGTGGGTTTTGGGGTTTTGTTTTGGGGCCCAAGGGGGAAGGGGGAAATGTGTATTAAAAAAACACGTTCATCATCGGGAGCCACTCGGGAAGAAATTTTCAAGATTCAACGAACAAACTCAATTGGCATTTCCATTCAGGGGCACTTCATATTCGACATTCATTCATTCAAAAAGTCGTGCGTGCGGTGTGACGATGACAAACACCAAACGGGGAGCGAATTATGGTATTTGTCATTGCCACATCTCAAACACGACTTAATCCGCAGGAAATGCATCCACCCACCTGCCGTATCGCCTGCCGTACTCGTCCGTGCCGTATCTCCTCCTCGCTCCAGCCCTTCATGCCGACTTCGGAACGAGGCATCAGCACGGCTCGATGGAAGCTGAGCCGCAACAGCACCTCCCGCGGCCCCCCCAGCACGTCCTCCCCCTCCACCTCGCCACGGTGCTCCCCGGCGTGGGGATCGTCCAGTCGGCCGCTGGCAGTGGACGAGTCGTATGTGCCGTCAATCTGCAGAAGAACAAGAAGAAGAAGAAGAAGAAGAAGAAGAACAACAACAAGAAGATGATGACGACGATATGTGTCTATGTGTGCGTGTTGATGAGGTGAACAAAGTAAAGCATAGTCAATTTGACACACTTTGAAAGTTACTTGTGGTGGGTGTGTGGTCCAATGAATTGCGTCGCGGGCAGGAAGTGGCAAGGATGGCACTGCGTGTGTGTATTAACACGCGCGCGCGCATGTGTATGTGTTTCCCCTGGCCCCCCTCACCTCCTCCACCCCCCGCGCCAGCAACTGCCACTCCGGGGTGTTGTTATCCCGCATGGTCGTGTAGATCCAATCCGCCGCCGCGTCCAGATCCAAACCGAATCCAGCACCGGCGGCTGCGCCACCCGCGCCGCCGTCCAGTCCCAACACCTCCTACGTCGCCGCAGTAATAAGTTGACACAAAAGTTGACGGATAAAAAAAACGCAGATAACGCAGAAAAAGATAACAAAGGGAGATATTACAGGAAGGTGACACTTTCGACTGAGGGACTAAAGCCGCTGAAAGGAGCCACAGGCGCAGCTACGCGAGGAGAGCGGATTTGTACATTTTGGCCGAAAGGAACAACACTTTCCCCTACAACAACAACAACAACAACAACAACAACAGCACTTTGCTGCTTTTCTCTGTTGGTCCTGCTACCAGGCTGGGTCTACATCAGAAGAGCGAAATCTATCAAGAATTGCACAGGTGGAGGAGAACAGAATCCAAGTACTGCAGCGTTTGTGGTCTTGGTGTTGGGTTTGTGTTGGCAGTAATGTTTCCCCGGGTGTCAGTGTTGTTGGTGGCGTGAGGAGGGCTGGGATGGGGTGGTGGTGGTGGTGATGGGGGGCGAGGAGATACACGCACACACACACCCCTAGCTAGCTAGCTAGCTAGCTAGCCAGCTAACTGGCCGGCTTGTCCGCATGCAGATGAGGCCCTCGAGCTGGGAGCCCCCACCCCTTGCTCCAGCCTGGGGGCATCCAAGTGCACCGGGCCCTCCGGCAAGACGTGACGACGCACACACATACACACACACACGCACGCACGCACGCACACACAGACACACACACACATAGACACGTCACTACTACGGACTGCCTACGGACTATTTCCTTCAGTAGAGATGTAAACCCATGTAAAACCCCCGGCACTGGCTTCTCTTCTCGCAACTGAGTTCATTCGAAATCCAACAACAACATCCCCACACCACACCAAACACCACATCACACCAAACACCACAACACACCAAACACCACAACACACCTGCAACCCCCCATTATCATCACTATGACCTATAGCTGCTACTCTCGTACTCGTGCCGCTACCCGTACACCGCACACCTGCAGCCGCTCCGGGATATCCCGGTCCTTAATCTCCTGGTCCTCGGGACGAAGGTGCGCTCGCGCCAGCTGCTCGGGATCCATCACCTGAACTCACAAAATCCAGATCCAGGATCCAGAAAAAGGAACGAAATCCGAACGATTAACACCAACAAATCAAGATGTTGAGATCCGGTGTGGGGTCCAGGTCCAGGGGCTATGTGTATATCGCCCCCACGTCCCCCCCCCACTACTTACTTAAAAAAAAACACTCACCAGCTCCGGAACCAAATGTATCCCAAGGGGCACCCGTAGATGCCGGGAAGCCCCCCTTGCCCCTCCGCCCTTTGATTAATAAGAAAAGGCCCTTATAAACAAGAGCTTCTCCGTCCTTCAAGCCAGCCTTGTGGTACCTTGGGACCCTGTGGGTCCTGTCCCAAGGCCCACGACAACGCCGTACCCACTTCCTCTTCCTACCCCGCCCGCCCGCAAAACACTCACACCCGTGCACACACCTGCGCGTATCTTCATCCACTGAAAACAGGAATTTAATTTCTCTACCACTCACCACTTTCTAGACTACGGAGCTTTTGCTTCCGTCAAAATAATTTTGTAACCCTAAGCACCTTTTCATCTCGTTTCCTTCCCGCAGCTCCGGTCATAAAAAATAATACACATGCACAAGTTTTCCCCCTCTCCCCCCTCCTCCAAAACAAACCAGACACCGTCACAGAGGACGTTGCCCGCCCTCGTACCCACCTTCATAGCCTGCTTGTACGTCTTATCCCTTTGGCGCTGCTGCCGCCGCTGCCGTCGCGCCTCCGCCGCAGCCTCATCCTCGTCCTCCAAGTACTCGTCCTCCTCGTCTTCCAGCGCCCCCTCAGCATCCAAACCCACATCCCCCCCGTCCGCTGGCCCCGCTGGCCTCTGCCGGGCGGCGCTGTACATCTCCATGAGCGCGTCCACGTCACCGAAAATGTCAAAGGCATCCTGTATGTATGTATGTATGGTATGATCGTTTGTGTGCATGCGCACGCATGCGCGCGCGCGTTTGAGGTTATGGGGGAAAAGAGGAAGATGTCAGCACATGCCGTACATGGTATCGTACACAGATATGTGCATGTTGTGCAGTTAGTGTAATACATATAATCCTAAATCCAAAAAACGCCGATGCATGTCATGTGACATGGGCGTCATATGCATGTGGATGCATGTAATAAAGCGCACGTCTGTCAGGAAATCGGATACGTACTCATTACTAATTATGTGTTCTTGGCCTATAGTCGGCCTAGTATGCAGCTCCACGCACCACGTGGGTATTGTCGTACTGTCAAAACCCAACTACCCCCTCATGATTTAATCGGTATCCCTGGTTCGAAACCCACCTCCCCAGCCACCCACTTAACCATCCATCTTACCCTACTCCTACTTGAGCATGTCGGGGTGCATTAAATATCGGCTTTAAACCCGCTGCTTCTTGCATGGCATGGAAAATCACATCAAGCCACTACCAGCCACCCAACCAGCCATCACCTACGCCCGGCCGTCTACCCCCCTCAGCCTCTCTCCATTTCTGCCCCCCCCTCAGCCTCTCTCCATTTCTGCTTCCCCCTCCGCCGCCCCCATCACGGGACAATCCGGGACAGGTTGAGGCCGCCTCAAGCACAACGAGACAGCACAGCAGGGAATATCACGAAAAAAGAAAATGTAGTGAGTGGCCGCCGGAGTTGTGTGTGTGTGTGTATGGGGGGGGGGACTGTGTGGTGCGCTGTCCAGTTCCTGTCCAGGTCTGGCCTAGGGTTCCTGTAGCGGCTTTTGCCCTCACCCGTCATATACCCCTCCTTCCCCCCCCCTCCCATAGCCCTCCAACCCCCCTCCTCCCCTCGAATTGTGTTTTTTCGTCCATGTTTCACCCGGGTTTAGGTGCGCGTGTCGCCATGGTCTACTCGCCGATATTCTCAAATCAAATAATCTATCCCGAACATCCCCCATCATGCTCGGCTATGGCTATTGTCAGAATACAGCATAAGCCCATTGCTGTATCTGACTCCTCCTCCTCCTCCTCCTACATAATACCCATCCCATCCCAGCCCCCACCGTCCCCACCAGCTCACAGCAGCGGGGGTGCTTAGGTCATCGCAATTACTACTTTTGAAAATTTTTGCATCGCGTGATTTTCCTCCCCTCCCCTCCCCTCCCCCTCCCAATGCACTCCCCAACACACACTCCCAAGACACACACACACAACCCACCTGCATAGCTCGGCTGCTGACCCCCGGGATTTCAGCTGCTCGCCGCCGGTGACGTCGACGCGGTGCGCCATCATCGCCTTCCACAATGAAATCCGCCATCTCATCTTGCTCATCAAGATCATCAAAATCCTCCTCACCGCCCTGCGTGCATGCGTGTGTATGCGTGCGCGTGTATGTATGTATGTGCACGTGTGTGTTTCGGGGAGTTGGGGAAAAGAGAGTACCCTCCATAACCCACATAGCCCTACCCAGCATAACGTGGTTCGTCTTTTCCCCCCCCCCAGCTCCAGTCGCCAGTCCGCAACTGGTAAGAAGTCCCCGTCTGGAAAGGAATGCCCAGCTACTACCTGCTCGTAGGTGTCCCTCCGGTCTTCGCGGCCGCCCGCGTCCTCCACCTCGTCCTCCAGCTCTGTGGGGGGAGGACAGGATATAGGATGGAGACGAAGGGGAGGGGGATGTGTGTGTAAGATGAACCACTGGCGAATGAAGGACAGCAGATACCTACCAGAGATAGACGGAGCGCGGAGTGTGTGTGTGTAGAGGTGAAAGGAAATCAACGGGCCCGTTCATCCAGAAACGGCCTGGTAGGAAAGGGAAACAGACCTAAAAAGCCCACTCGGGCACGACTCCCCCCCCTCCTAGGTTGTTTCCCAGGGTGTATTGGGCAGGGCGAGACTTGGTGCAGGAGGCGGGGTTCCCCCATCGTAACCCGCTTCTTTTCCTCCATACAACAGCACCAATGTGTGCACATGGCATCTGGTGCTGAATCCCTGGTCACCTAGCCCTCCCTCTCCCTTTTCAAGAGAGCCACGGTAATGATAATATGTTTTTTTGCTTAGGGCACAACAAAAGCAAGCTGTAAGGAGCCAGGCCACGACGATCCATACCAGCGGGTGGGTTGGGATGTGGGTACCCGGGCCACTAGTTCACCCAGTCCAGCAGGGCTGGAGCGACATGAAGGGGGGGTGTATATGGGGTGTGTCTGCAGCGTCCCCTCCCCCGCACCTCACCTTCATAGCCAAAAAGTTCCTTCTGGATATCCGCGGCGTCGTTTGCTTTTCGCGCATCTTCTGCTTTGCTCTTCAAGCGCTTCCGTCCAGTGGGCCGGCGGATCCCCTGCCCCGGTCAACAACGGGTGGCAAAAACAGCAGCTGGGCCGACTATTGGGAGCAACGTGGCACTAAGCAAACAGCCTAGGCGGTTTGCTTGCCCGATGTTATAAAGGCCCGCCTTTCCAGGCACCGCACCTGTACTTGGTTCTCCTCCAGAAGGTCATAGTCGTCATCGTCAAGGCGGAGCTGGCGCTCCCGTTTTTTTCGCTTCCTCCTTCTGGGAGCCTCGCGCCTTTCCTCCTCTTCTTCTTCCTCCTCTTCAGGTTCGTCAACAATGAATCCATCGGCTTCATATTCGTTTTGCTCCTCGTCGTCATCCTCCTGCGCACCAGGACTCACCCGTTAGAACCTGTTCAAGTAATGACCGCCTGCAGTTGCTGCACTACCTCCGAGGAATCCTGGAACTCCGCTTCTTCTTCCTCATCCGCTTCGCCTTCAACTAGCGCAGCCGCCTCACCCCCGTCGCCCTCAGCAGCTGCCTCTCCCCCGTCTTCATCAGCATGCTGATCAGCTATCTGATCCTCAAGGTCCTCGTTATCCGACATGGTTTAATGCTGAAAGAAACTCGAAACTCAAGAGAGCATTTCTGCGAGATCTTGTGTACACTGACCTAATCAATTAGGCGTCACTAAGCATTTCTCAACCTACAACTTTGGTAGCATTGTTAAGGATTCGTGTTACGGCACTGGGACAGGACTGCCGTGATGGATTGTTGCTACTAACTGCTAACGAGACCCGTTGGCGTTTAGAAGGCCTCACCTGTGCACAACTTTGATATTATATAGAGTGTTACGGAAATTCAATAGTACTAAGCATATAACTGTGCCAGAGCTCGCACTAAACTTAAGTCGCATCCTGCCTAAAGCGCCTGTACTGACGTCTGAGGGAATTATAAAAACTATCCAGTTTGTCCTCTTCCTTAGATAACCTACTTCTAACCTTGTTGCGCCGCCTGTCGGCCGTCCTTGGTTGGCCGGCCGACTTTGCTCGGCGCCACTTACAGTTTACCTAGCCCGACATGGATAACCTCACTCGATTATGGCGGGTCCGGCGGACATGCCTCCAAATGCTAAACGACCGTGGTTACCTCGTCAGCCAGGAAGAGATTAACACATCAAAGGACCAATTCCGCGATAGATTTGGCGAGAATCCCAGGAAAGACGACCTCACCATCTTGGTGCCCAAGCAGGATGACCCGACCGAGCAGGTGCGCTGGGCAACGGCAGCCCAAGGTCGCCCCGCCGTGGCTGTCGTACACAACAGCGACGCCGGACGCAGCGTTGAACACCGCCCTATTCGCACCTGGACACCTTTCAAGCCTGCGAACTTGATCGCGAACTGAGCCATTTTAGCGGGAAGCTGTGCCATGCCGAGCGGCATGCCGACCCGACCGAATCCATGGCGCAACTCAACATAACTTAGGGTTTACAAAATCCATTTCCACACAGCCCCCCGAAATGGGCGGGTTGTCTCACACGGAAATGTCGTCGTACCTTATCGTCCTCGGCCCCTTGCAGATGTTTGTCTTCTTTCCGGAGGAGCAAAAAGTCGGAGTTAAAACAATCAAGGTGGGGGCTGACGGACATGTGCAAGAGGGCAGGGAACCATGCTGGCGGGCTATGTATGTACGTATGTATATATGTAGGTATGTGCGTAAGTGTGTGTATGTGTATTGTAAGGGGGGGAAAAAGAGCAGAGATGTCGTCAGGTTGCCAGCCAGCTCCACGCGAACGGCAACCACAAAAGCACCCACCATCACAAAAAGCACCCACCGATCATCGCAGCTCTTTGCATGTTTTACGAATGCTTTGTCAAACACAACCCAGTCTTTATCATCACTTCAAGATGCACACATACACATACACATACACATATACACACACACCCCAAAACACACCCTTAGCCCTCATTTCTCCCCGCCCCCTCCCCGCCCCATTCTCCAGCTGCTTGCGGAGCGCATGAAGGACGAGAAGGTGAACAGGGCCATCATGGTAACCGCCGTCAAGTTCACGCCCTTCGCCAAGAGCGCCCTGGAGGACATGCGACCCAAGTACTGCATCGAGCACTTTTTGGAGTCTGAGCTGCTGGTCAACATTACGGAGCACACGCTGGTTCCGGAGCACCGAATTCTAAGTCCCGACGAGAAGCGAACGCTGCTGGACCGGTACAAGATCAAGGAGACTCAGCTGCCGCGCATCCAGGTGGGGTTTGGGTGGGGGGCTGGGGGGGGGAAAGACGAACCACGAACGACTGAAGCTGCTTGGCCAGGGCAAGAGTGTGGGGGGAAGAAGGGGAGAGGGTTGGGTTTTGTGGTTGAAGAGGAGGGATGGGCAGAGGCGGGAAGGGGTAGCTGTACACATCAAAGGTGATAGAAAGGGGAACAGCTTGTCTCGAGGCCGTCCAATATGGGGGGAAGACGAACCACCATCAGCGAGTGAAGCTGATGCCAAGGATGTGGGGGGTAGAGAGTGATGGATTACATCATCATTACTTCAATGTACGACGCGGAGGGTCAATGGTTGACCGGGGGTTAGAATGCGGTTGGGCGCTCAGGGGGGGTCCGAAGGTTCCGGAGCTGGCGTCTGAAGGGTCGCAAAACGGGAGAGAGCGGGAGAGGGGAAGATGGATATACATACAGGGGTACGGTGGGATGTTGGGGAAAGCCCGTCCGTACATATGTGATGGAGGAGAGGGGGCGAAGTCGTACAGGTGGTTGTAGGGACGGGGGGAAAGAAATATTTTTTGGGGGAGGATGCACATTCGTACATTCATAAATGTACGACGGAATGATGATGTGGTGCGGTGCTGCCCCACCAGCGAGCCTTCGCCCCGTCAGACAAGCTCCCGCCTTGACACCTTGGCCCGCCCCGCCTGCCTGACGCGTACCGGGACGGGCCACCCCTCCAAGGGACTGAAACACACACCCCGCTGGTGCGGCCGCGGGCTGGCTGGCTGATCGGGGCCTGACACAGCTTTGCATGGTGGTTTGGGGTTCGCCAGGTAGTTCGTTGAGGAGGGGGGGCCTTAGTGATGGTCAGTTTTGGTTGTAGGGTTCAGCTTTCGGGTCTAAGAGGTGCCGGTGGGGCGGCCTCTCATCACGGGGAGGGGAGGGGCAACCGGGTGATGTGCTGATGTGGACCCACCCGGGGTGGGCAGCAAGCCGCGCACCTGCTGCAGGCTCAAGGTTCAAAGGCTGCATGGACGGAAATGTGCCACAGCAGCGCGTGCTGAGGTTGGATGGTTGGTTGAGAGAGGGCCCCCGGTAGCCACCGTGCGCTCGTTTTCCTCCTCTTGACAAGGCACAAGGGGGGAAACGGGGGGGGGGTGGGGGGTTGCACGTCCTCGGTCGAGCAAAAGAGGGGACTGCGGGGACCCCTCACGGCCCTCTTCCCCCACGAGGACGAGAGTGGCTCGGTGGTCGTTTCCTAAGGTTATGTCCCGTGGCCATTGTCAGGCACGGATCGATATGTAACAGACAGATACATACATACATACATACATACATACATTATAGGCAGGCGGCTGGCAGAAGTTAAGGCCTGACTTCTGCTCCCAGTCGATCCAGTCGACCCGGGTTCAAATCCGCCTGCCAGCTCCTCGGGTGTTTGAGGAGTGATGAAATGGGAGGTGGCCCCCCATCATATGGACGGTGTAGGACGTGATAATATCAACTTGCGAGCTGACCAGGAACTAAGTTGATGCGCCGTTGATCCGCTAGATTTGGTTGGATGCTGGTGGTGAGTTGCCGAACCCAACGAATACATTCTGAAGTCGGATGGGGTGACGGATTAGGGTGCCCCTCTAGCAGGGGAGAGCAGGGACTGCCCCGGGAAAGGGGGACGCTGGCGAAGTTAACCACCCTGTAACAACATACAATACATACATACATACATACATACATACATACATACATACATACATACATACATACATACATACATACATACATACATAGGAGGCCTATCAGGGTCGAAAATCCTTCCGATGGTGGAAGGTATTTCGCCCCTAGTTGATGGACGGTGGTGACCTGGGATAAAGTTAACCTGCGAGCCGACCAGGAATGGAGTTGGGCCGCCGTCGACCCGGCAGATTCCGTTGGATGCTGGTGGTGGGTGCGGAACCTGAGCGATCCACTGAGAAGTTTGACTAGGGTGACTGGATGAGGGTGCCCCGAAATACCGGGGAAGGCAGGGCTTCGCAGGGTAGCTGCCACGGGCGAAGATACACCCCCCTGTTTCACACATCATACATACATACATACATACCGCACCTCGCCGCTTGGGCAGGGTCGAGGGGAGGGGGGAGGGGCGCCCCTGCCCCAACTACCGGCCGAACCAACCCAGCCTGTTTTGTTGCATGCCGTTCACGTGATTCCCTCCGACCATCCCATTGTCGTACTTGATTCCCCCGTCCCCATCTCCCCCTCCCTCTCCCCGCAGTCCTCGGACGCTGTGGCCCGTTACCTGGGCTTGCAACGAGGCCAAGTGGTCAGGATTGTACGACCAAGTGAAACTGCAGGACGATATGTGACGTACAGGTTTTGCGTGTAACACTAGAACGACGATGAGTGTGACGACACGGTAGGGTTGGTTACGTGTGTACGGCATTGTACGGCTGTGCTACGACGGCCATGCTGCTCCTGGAGGAGAGGTAAAACACAGGGTGTGCCGTTTCGGTGGCTACCCCGTCACCTGGAGATGGCTGACTTTCTTCGCCGGATTATCTGGTTAGGATGGTGTCAGGATTTTGAAATTTCTATTAGTTATGAGCGCTCTCCAACTTTCCTAACACGCATTGGTGATGTGTGTGATGGTGGTGGGGGAGAACGGGGGGAAGGAAGGGGCCTGCTGTGTAACCCTGCCTGTGCGAGTCGCGAACGAGCACAACGCCGTGCAGCGAGGGCCCTTTTTCATTTCGGCGGCGTAGGGTGTCCGGATCTTGGGGAAAGCTGGGAAAAGAGGTCACGTGATGATGATGACGATGACGACGACGATGAAGATGATCAGTCGACTGGATGGAGGGCTGTGCTTTCTAGGGGTTATGACGATCGCGGCAGCTTTTTGGTCATCTGGGTCCTCGTAAAAAAGAGGAGCCCCGCGGATTCATAATTGCTGCGCGGCGACCTGGCTCAATATCTTTCGTTCGACGTGTAAATCTGTTGTGTCTCTTAGCATTGCGAAATTGTGGTTGTTAGGGTGGGTTGCGGCCTCACGGTGGCGTTTGGAGGCGTCTGTTTTCTTGGTGTACGCGCGGTCGGTGGTCGGTGGCGTGTGGCGAAGTATCTGCAGCGCTGTCATGGAAAGGAACACGGAGGGCACATGCGACTTCAGCACCCTCTTCTTCCCACAAGCAAATCCGTTTGCTAGTTTCCGTTTGCCAGCGGGTCATTCACACGCGGGCCTGGAGCCTCGGGAGCCCCTGGCGCTCCGGCAGTCTTTCCTCGAAAATTTCCAAACGGCATCTCGCAGGTATCAATTAACAAAGTGTACCGAGAAATGACTTTATGGAGCTGCAGCTTTTCGAACGCGCCTCACAGTTGCCAATAGCAAGTAGTCCTCGACAGCTGCTTAGTTTAGAGCCAGGCCGCAACAATGGAAAGCGCTGTTTACATGTAGTAGCTGCTGGCCGTCGAAAAGTCCCCCCTCAAGATGCTGGCGGAGCGCCTTAGCGCGTATTTGTAGACGTCATGTGTGCTGTACTATGTACCAGCTATTACATTACGCGAGGGAGGAAGGGGAGGTACTTCCTGTCAGGGGATTTGCTGTTAGCTAAGTTTGGGTGGGAAAACTGATGGGGACGGCAGCGGTATACGGAGCTCCCTGCCTCACAAGAATACTGGACCGGTCTTCTGGAAGGCTAGACGCGAAGGACGTCAAGAGTCTTGACGTATGAAGGGTCCCATGGGAGATGTTGGGTAGCAGTCAAATCCGATAGGAAAGATTTGTACATGAGGGACAGGGCTGCACGTTTGGGCACTTGTTTGGGATGGAGCTGTGTTGAGTTATGTTTGAAACCTGCGTCAAATGAGGGCCAGCCCTTTGCACAAGCTCTTAATTTGGTCGAGCCGAGTAAATTACTGTTGTAAGATGGAAGCTCCGTGCTTTCAGAAACGTGCGAGCGTTCGCTGTCGTCGCGTACGGTACGGAATGGCGATTCTTCTTCTAGGCTTGCATACAGGATTAAGAAAGTTGGGCATATGTTGCAGTAGTCTAGCATTCTGGCTGCGTCGATTTGTGCTTATTTGTTTGTTTATCACAATTCCTTAGCTGGCCTCCGACCGCTGTTGCAATTCAAAGCGACGTGTCCAGCCCACCAACCGCGACGCCTCTGTGTTAGTCCACATTATGAGATTAATGGTCTAATTTCACCTGCATAGTCACGGGTGTTAATCCTGTTTAATCATGGCCGGCTATGCGTCCAGGCGAGCTTTATTCCAAACGCTTCCAAGTGCATTTGGGTGCTTTCCACTACTGATTACGTGATATTGAACACTTAGGAATGCAGAGGAGGGCTTAGTGCACGCCAGCAAACACAAGACCAGGTCGCGATTAACGTCGGCAAGTTCGACTTTGACTCGGAGGTGGAGGGCCTCAGAAGCCATGTCCAAAAGATTAAACAGGTATGCATCTAACCTGCTATGGGAGCCACCTGCTGTGTCTAAACTGCCGGACTGGGTTTCTACCTTGCAGTTGTCCCTGGTTATCGAGGACGAGCAGAAGCAGCAGGGGCAGTTAATCAACTCCTTGGTGAGATGAAGGGGGAATACTTTGCGGCGGACCCGCTTGCAGTCGAGCATAAAACACCGCCTGATTCGGGACGTGCAGGAGGACACATTGGAGCGCGCCAAGCTGGGCATGCGGAGGGCCATGGGGCGACTAAACATTGCATACCGCCAAGCGCAAAGCAACCATATGCTGTACCTGGTTCTCTTTGCCCTGCTGATGTTCACGGTGCTCTACGTCTTGGGGAAGGTAAGTGGCCCTGGCATTACTTGGGACCATACAGGCCCCGCACGCCAACCCTTTTCATGCAAGGGTGATTTCGAACTTGAAGATGCTTTGTGTCCTCGCAGGTTTATCGAATCGGGCGGGCAGTGATTGGCGGACGGTAAGGACAGAAAGACGTTGGCCTGCTGAAGAGAGCTCTGCTTGGAGCTATGTAAGGAATAATGGTGGAGTTCTTTCCGCCAGCCCGAAGGGCCTTGATGGTGTGGCCACGTGCACGGAGGGTGGACTGAGGTTACCCGGGTACGTCATAACCTGAGGTGATGGGGTGTAGCGACGGAAGGCATGAGTTTTTATGCCCAGGACTGTGAACCCCCTAAGTGTCGAATCGGGCGGACGGTGCTGGTCTGATAATTTTCACCTCACCCACAGGAATACCGCGTCGTATGCTATGTATGCAGGGATGTACAAACGCTAGATTTTTGGATTGGTGAGGAAGGGTTGTTAGGACGGGAAATTTGGTTATTTTGATCGCGGCGTCGGAAGGTTTCGACACTTATATCAATCGCTTTCTTTTCCTTGCCTGGAATTTTTTTTGTGAAGTCATTTACTTCACAAGTGTTATCTGAGCGCATAAACTGTGTTTGCGCCCAGCGAGGCTTCCTGATCTTTGTGTGTAAACATTATGCAAAGCTCGCGAACACGTGCTCCCCTCTTGCTCAACACTGCGTTAGCGCTACATCGGGATCTTGCGTTATGTAGCAGCATAATTCATGCGAGCGAGCGCGGCTTGGCTACACAAGGGATGCTTGGCGGCCTGTCACGTAGCACACAAAAGCACTTAGCACATATCGGAGAAGTGCTGCTTCATGCATCGCAGCACCAGAACCGCTGTTTGGGCAGCGCGTTCATCTCGCAAGCGCGATTGCTCTGGCTAGCTGAACATTTGACGGTGAGAATCGCCATCGGGCTGGTAGCAAGCATGTGACACGATAATATTTGCCGCTCTCGGATGCAATACAGCCGAATCGGGCTCCAGGCCTTCCAAACTTGCGGCATTACGCGGCCGCGGCAAACGCACAAGAGCAACCCAAGCAGCCCAAGGAGCAGGTGCGCCATGCCCCTAAATCCATGGGTCCTCTTTCGCTGATGTGGGGGTACACTGGCAATAAGCCACTTTTTGTCGTCCAAACCCATTCACATACACCAGGCTCCTGTCGTAGCACACCACATGCATTCACAGGCTTTCACCCAGCAGTGATGAAGCTCATGCTCAAACCATTTAACACGGGCTACGGAACTCAAAACTTGAGTCTTGGGCACGGGGAGGGCCCTGCTTGGTAGTCCGGGGCGCCGGCGTGACGACGAGCCGCGGCTGCCGCAAGCTGCTGTACACCGGCCCTACCGGGCTTTATGCCGCCATCCCTACCCACCTCACTCACATAGTGCACCCTGGGTATCTGCCTAGCCCTTCACCCCCTTCACCCCCTTCACCTGCGGAGGAGGTTACACAGGTTACATATCTCCTCTCTCCTTTCAGTGCTGCTCCCTCTTAGTCTGCCAGCTCTCTGTTCGGTTGGCCCCCGCGTCGCGGCCCGGGTCCCAACCGTTGATTTCTGTTGCGGTTGAAGCGGTTGCTTCAACCGCTTCAACCGCACCGGGGTGCCGTGTGTAGACCTTGTGAAGAGGAGGGACATTAGGGTGCCATGGTGATGGTGATGATCGCCATGACGATCACGATCACGATGATGCAAGCTGCAAGAGAATTGACTGGCTGCCGAGTTCCAAAGCACCAACTTATCGGTTGCTAGTCCGTGACTTGGGTTTGTGGCGTGGAAAGCGCGTTCACAGCTGGGACAGGGAGTGAAGTGATGACTAGCTGAATTGAAGGAGAGGAGGAGCGCGAGGGGAAAGGGAGGGAATGGGCGAAGAAGGGAGATAGAGGCGCGGAAGGGCGGAAAAGGGAGATAAGAGCTTTTATGATGTGATGGCGTCCGGCGTCCATTTTGAAGAGCCGTCTTCTGGCGGCTTTTTGCTGGCCTGGTCTGCCTACCTACCTGGCTGTGTTGGTTGCCTGCTGCTTCTGTCGCTTATGAGATCGCGGCGGTGGTCGGAATGAGCATTAATGGATTAATGGAGGCGGAGCCCGGTCTGGGGTTGCGTGACATACGAAGCGCGGGCCCGGGTGACTAAAACACACACACACACTATATATATATGTATTTTCAAGATATCATCTCCACGCCGTTTTCCACCCCATTCCGCCACGATTTCCCCCATCTGGGGAAAAGGTATCGTACGACTCCCTGGAGCTGACCCAGGAGAAGATCGACGCCATCACGGATAAGATTCCCCAGCGGCCTGTGGGGGTTGTGGAGGGGACCAGCTACACACTCATCATCCTGGCGGCATTTGGGGTGAGAGGGGAGGGGAGGGGAGGAGAGGGGAGGAGAGGGGAGGAGAGGGGCAACAGGGAGGACGCGAATGGCCGGTGGTGGGACATTGGATGGATTCCATCCGAACATCTGCTGGCAGCTTGTCTCAACTTCCACCATATGTTCACTTCATACATCATGCTAAACAGTTTTCCGTCCCGCACCTCCCCCGCACCTCCCCCGCACCTCCCCCGCACCTCCCCCGCCCGCACCCGCCCTCCGGATGTGTTGTCAGGTTTTGGCGTTCGTACTGTACCACGTACTCACCTCCCTCATCTTCGAGCCCACCGCCATCACGTGCTTCAATCACACTCTGGAACGGCTCAAAAACGACCCACGGGTCACTGTGCGCATCGGCGGAGCAGATGACATCCGGGGTAGGTGGGTGGTTTTCTGGTTAGTTGGTTACTGGTTGGTTGGTTGGTGGTTGGGAGGCTAGGGGCTGGCGGGGAGCAATGGGGGCAGTTGGGGGCTGGGGGGCTACCCGGGGGGTATAAAACCTGCCGTACCAGGTATAGTGGTTAGTTCAGTGACCCATGAACCCACACGGTGTTTCCCTTAGTCATCGTCATCGTCCTGTTCTTCCCCCTTCCCCCTGCCGCTGGGGTCCGCTGTAACAAATCGTATACTGCTGCCGCCGCCGTTGCCGCCGCCGCCGTCTCCGCTACTCCTTTGCGTCCTTGGCCTTCCTTTGGATCCAGCCAACACTTCGCAGTTTGCGCCTTTAGACGTGATGTACGGCAGTTTACAACCTCCGCTGTTGCATGTATCGTGTGTCGTGATTTCCCAAACACCACCCCCCTCCCTTCTTCAGCTTGGGGCACCAACGCTGAGAGCCGGGTAGCACGACAACAGATTCCCCACCACATCTACAAGGACGCCAATGGCGTGGAGCACGTACGGGTGAGAGTTGTACGGCACTGTACGGGTTAACTGTGTACGGGGGGTTGGTGCTGAATACGGCGGGGTATGTTCTTATGGAATCCTGTCGGGGATGACGTGGCTAAGGCTCCCTTTCTTTTAGGATTTCATGCCTTTTCCTTTCTCTCCTGATTTCCTGTTTTGCTCCGTCTTCAGTCCACGCGACAACTTCGCCGCCGTTACGCGGCCACCAAGCTACGACAATAACAACAATCCTTTGCGCAAAAACCTTCAAAGACTCTTTCCCCTTCGCCCTCTCCCCACATCCCTCGCCCACAACACCGACGCCCACAACACCCCAGATCCAGTTTCACATTCGAGGACCCAGCGGGAATGGTGTGGTGAGCCCCGGGGGGGAGGTGTCTGCTGTGGTTGCGGTAGGGGGGGGGGGCCGCTGGCCTGGTTGGGGCGCAGGTAGGGGGGTAGAGGCCGAGGGGAGTGGGGGTTTTGGGGTTTTAGGGTTTAATTTACCGGGGTCTAGAGGCCAACGGTATGGGGACCTTGCGATATTGAGGTCTTGCGGTCGGCCTCTGCTGCCGCCTGTGAGGTGAGGTCCCCCTCGTCTTGGTACCTTTCTTACCTTACCATTGCTTCACACGGGCGCGTTTTCGTGTTCGACTGGGTTTCGGAGCAGGTGAATGCCGACATGTACAAGGACGTTGACGGTCAGTGGCAGTACACGTACTTGGTGGTGGATGCCTACCCCGCGTCCTCCTCCTCCTCCGCCTCTTCGGGATCACCGCAACGACTGGCGCTCGTAACACCCCGATGAGGTGATGATGATGATGAGGAGGAGGAGGACGAGGTGATGGTGATGAGGAGGACGACGACGAGGAGGACGAGGAAGACGAGGACGAGGACGAGGAGGAGGAGGACGATGGTTGTTGCTGTTGTGGTGATGATGATGACGATGATGATGATGATGATGATGATGATGGTGGTAATGGCGATGACAATGACGACGCTGATGAGAACGATGGCGATGATGGTTGTGGTTGTAGTGGTGGTGCGACCCATGTCGGCCTGACGCCTGGGAACACCCGCAATACGGCACTCAACACAACCCAGCACACCACACCACACCGCAAAGCACACAGTGCAGCTAGCCGCACCTTTAGTCAGACAGGCCGCCTGGTCCAGGCAGACGGCTTGGGCGGTCAGGGCCGATAGCCACGAGAAGAGAGCAGAGACAGGCAGCTGCCACGCGGCCGGTCGGGGCAGATTGGAAAAGAACCCGACAAGGGAGGGAGGGAGGAGGAGGAGGAGCCTCCTGAGAAACCGTCCGGCAGCCGCCTAGGGGGCGGAAAGGTTGGCGGGGGCCGCCTAGGGGACTGGAAGGTTGGCGGGACGAAAGAGAAGGGTTGAATGCTTGGGGGAGGGTATTACGTTAGGGACTTGTGAGGCGGTCATAAGGCCCCCAACGCCATGGTGTGGTGGTGTGGAGGTGGCCGAAGGGGAGGACGCGGAGCTGCGTGTGTACGTGTGTGTGTGTGTGAAAGTGTTTTTCTGTCTCACGACGTGGTTGGCAGCGGCGCGACGCGAAAGAGGCCGAAAACAAAAGGGGCAAAATGGGAAGGGCGCGCTGTGATGGTGGCGGTGGCGGATGGGGAGCCGTGTACGGTCGTGTGGATGGGCCAGCATGCAACTGGCTGTAGCTCTGTGGGTAGAAGCGCAATAGGGTAAGGTTGGGGTATGTGGTGGGGATGGGGTGAGGGGGGCGTTGCTGTGGGGCGCACACCGCAACGACCCGCTGGTGGAATATAGAGGGGGGAGGGGGTGGTAGAGGAACTGGGGGGAGGGAAGTGGGGACGGTGCGAGGTAGGGAAGGTACTCTACACTTTGTGTGGGTAATGAACGGAGTAGTAGTGTGGTGGGGGCAGCAACTGCGGTGGGGGCGGCGAGGAAAGCCTTTAGGAAGTCTGTGTAGGGTGCATCTTTTGCTGGGGACTAAGGAAGCTTCTTTTTTGGAGGGAGATGCTGGGGGTTTTAGTGGGTCCTTTGGCTGGCTGGTTATGGTATTTTGTGCTGAATGCGTGGTGGACAGATGGGAGGGGGACGTATTGCGGGAGGTAACAGGAGGGGAATAACGATGGGTTATATGAGTTTCTCGACAATGTGGCTTAAGGAAGTGGATATTGCAGAACAGGATGGGCATGGGGCAGGTGCGCAAAGTGGCAGAGGCGTTATCTGTGAGTTTTGCTATTCGCAAGGGCCCTGCTTGCAGCACGGCGGAGAGGTGTAATAGACAAACTTAATTACACACAAGCCAGGTCCAACGGAAAGCGCAAGTACCAGGAACCCTTAAGGAGCAACACTTTGCAAACGCATGCACTTGGGAATTTGGGCATGACAGCAACACAGCGCAGCAACGCATTCGGAAGAGAATGTTTGCCGTCACAATCAACACTTGTCAGATAGCCGGCGCCCAGACGAAATTGTGTGCGGTGACCAATGCCTATGGTTTGCATTGCGCGCCCTAACGGGTACCAAGTATGACAGTTAACAGGAGAGTTGCAAAGAGTTCGTGGCATGCAATCTCAACCACATTACGTTCCAAGACATTATATGGTCACACATGTACATTGTAGGCGTTAGATGCAATCATTTGGCGCCAGGTCATGCAACTGTCGTCCATTTCCGTGCGGAACCTGCCAAACAGGACTATAAACTTTCCAAGCAAAACAATTCCGCTTATACGTCAGTGATAAGAAAGTAGTCTTGCATCCATTTGCGGCATCGAAGTATTGGCAGCTAGCAAACCCTTTCACTGAACTTGTCGCTATGGCTGACGACCGTAAGCTGAAGCGCCTGGGCTTTGTTGATGCCTACACGCACAAGCTTGCCAATGGCGCAGCTTACGTCGAGGGTGCATACAAGAAGGTCAAGCCCCTTGTCCCGCAGCAAGTGCAGCCCTTCCTCGCGAAGGTGGAGGACGCTGTGCTTGCGTACACAGCTCCTGTGGTTGCCAAGGCATCCGACCAGGCAGAGAAGTTTCTGCGTATTACCGACGAGCAGGTTTGGCCCAGGGTCCGGGTGATTGCGTAACGCAAGGCAACCGTTAGAAGCTACGCCAACCGCTAGCTTGCACCTTGCTTAGCTATGCGATACCTTGTTCACATGTTGTACAGTTTGAGTCGCGTCTTGTGCTTAATGCGTCTCCTTGCACGTCGCCTCGTCTTCTGGATGCTGCAACATCCGTGACCGCCTTGGCACAATGGTTGCCTCTGGTTTATTCATGGGAACGCTTATCCATGCCAGGTTGATTATCTGTACGTGGAGACGGCTGCGTACCTGACCCAGACGCGCAAGTTGACGCAGAGCAACATCGATACTTTCCGCTCTGCTGCCGACAAGTACTACCAGATGGTCAAGTCCACCGCAGACTACTTGGCTTCAAAGCTCAGCTATGACATCTCGGTTCAGGCGGCTCGCGATTTCATCAGCAAGTCTGTGGAGAAGGCCAAGGAGCTTTCGGACCCCGACGCCGCCGTGCGCATCGTTTATGACTCCTGGCAGCAATTCGCGGCCATTCCGGCAGGTAAAGATGCTGTCCATCCCCAGTTTGACTGGGCATGAGCGCACGGAATGTACGCATGAATATTCTGCGCGCAACGTCTTTACGCGACCTTGGTTTAGCTTTTGGCCTAAGACTTCATCCTGGCGTTGGTCCGACGAAGCCTAAACCTAGGTCTCTATTAAAAGTCCCCGAGTCATTCTCATTTCGTGTTGGGAGCGTGCAACATGCATATGGTGTGTTCGCCAAGGGCGCTCGTAGGCAAAACAGTGTTTCCCCCCCACACTCACCCCGCATTGCTGATGATGCTTACCGTTGCCTGCGTTGCCTAATGCCTCACACATTGCCGTGTGTATATACTGACTGCTCTTTTATTCTTTCCAGTTGCCAAGACGCTGGAGAAGACCGCCCCAGTAACCAGGAAGGGCTTCGAGACCTTCATCGCGGCGCATGATGCGCTAGTGGTGAGCGAGGTTTAGCTGTCGACTTTCAGCTCCCAAGTTAGGCGCAGTGGGGCGACGGGCGGGCGGTGCAGGTCTTGGCGCCTAACAGCCGAAATTTATTCCCCCAGTTAGTACATGGCTTTCTTAAGTTTCTACTTGAAAGAGCATCCTAGCCGGAGCTTAGGATGTACGCTTGAAGTTTTGCTGGTGACAAATCGCACGATCTGCAGCGAATACAGAATTTTGCCATGCAGCGGAATATCATTCTGGCGCTCTATTTCCAGGCCTAAGGGCGGGGCGTGCGCATATTGTACCACCAAACAGGCAAACTCACAATTCCCCAAAAGGAAAGCTGCTTTGTGCTTCCTTTATATCTCATTCCCTGTATCTGTGTACGTATCTGCACCCCGCACAGAGCTCGCTTGTGTACAAGCGCTCCGTCAGCCTAGGTGCCACCACGCTGGGCTGGGCCACAACCACCACGCCCTACAAGCTGGGCGCGCAGTATTTGTACCCCATGGTCCAGTCTGTGGCTGATCCGGCACTGGAGAAGGTAAGTAGGACTGGGGGGTTTACGACAGTGTCGGACATGGCTGGACTGATGCCCTGCCGCCGTCGCTGTAGCCGCGCGCCTAATTGGGGAAGTTGCGGCGGGCCCTGGAGCGATTATTAGTGTACGCCTTTTGTAGTGAAATGTATCCGGGCATTTACCTGACCTGACCTGAATTGGCATCATCCTTGCTCAGCTTGATGGATTCGTACCAGTTGGATTCGTTTACACGTGAAGTGGTTGGAAGTCATTGGCCTGCGGCGTTTTCCGCCGCCACGCTGAGAGCTGTGTGCACTGCCGTGTTTCGCAGGTGGCTAAGAGCACCTACGTCAACGCCACTTTGAAGTACTGGGCGCCTGTGGCGGCGGCGTGAAACCCTATGGCCATTGTTGGATTGCCGTCATCTTGGGGCACCAGGCCGTTTTCTCCTTGTACGTTGTATAACATCTGATCCGTCCTACGTATTCTTGCTGTCTAAACGATGGGCGTGACCTGGGGGGTTCATGGCCCTGTGTCGCAGCGAAAAAAAATTGCGGTCATTGCGGTTGAGTGTTGGGAGATCTTGGTACCGAATTATAGTTGTAGTTGCAGTTGTTCCCCCTGTGAATTACTGCGCGTACGACGTGATGGATAAGACCGCCAAGCGAACACATTTCATGATATATCGCGAGGAGGGTGGCCAGGGTTTTCAGTCCCAAAGCCGTTGATCGCTGGGGTGAAGGAGAGTTGAAGAAGAGGGTTTTCGGAGAGAATGAATGCTTATTTGTTTTTAGTACTGCAACAAAAATTTAGTTGTACCGCATCTTAGTTGTACGGTAAACCGTTGTGACATTATCGAGGTTAATTCCCCAGTGCGCTTGCAGGGTAGTGTTGTCTTTTTGGCTGTTTGTTGCTGCATGTACTTTTAGGGGTCGCAAAGTTATGTATTTCTTATATCTTGTAGTACAGTTTTTGTTGAAGGCCTTGAGGGCTGAAAAGGGCGGAAAAGATGACAAAGATTTAGATGGTAACTATGTATGAGACAACTATTTCCTGTAAATACCATGGAGAAACATTTTACTCAAGTACACGCTGCCACCAGAAAATAATTTTTTTACAATGTTTACCCCCCTTTACATGTAACTGAAATATCTATAAATCATCAACACCATAATTTTCGGACATAAATTCTGCTTCGTTATTCGCATCATCACATTACCCGCTCTCTCTGCCATGCCAGCAAAGACGAATTAACCGGCCATGCTTTTTCCGTGCGTACATTACACCACTCCCTTAGCAGATGATACGATCTAATTTCCAAACATCCTCTCCATTAATGATGACCATGTCCGTGCCCATGTCCGTGCCCATTCTCATCGTCCCAGCCGTTCTTTTGGACATCCTTCTCGAAAAAGTAAATATCGCCGTGCTGCGGGGGCGGATACAGTGAGGGGCATAGACAAACAAATCTCAGACATAATACAATCCTGAAAATGTTTGGCCCACAACCCGATTACGGGGTCCTACACCCAAAGTCCCAAGCCCGAAGTGAAGATGTGCCGCCCGGGTTGCCGTGGGTTTGAAGTGAGGTGGGGCCGTACACATGCATGTACGCCATGTTGGCTGGACTCCCAGACAGCTGCGCTTGGCGACTGCTGTGAGCCGTAGGAGGTGTTCTTGTAGCAGCGCGCAATCGCCGGAAATTGCCTTGCTGGATCCCCGCTGAAAGCAAGAACCTTTCTGTGTGCTTGTGATTGTGATTGTGTGTGTGCTTGTGTGTTCTTGTATGTATGTGTGTGCCAGGGGTGGGTGGGGAACAACGTCGTCAGCTGTTACTTTGCCCACCTCTTTGTGTGGGGGATTATGGACGTCTTCATGGGAATTAAGCTACATCACTTACCCGAAAGTTTCTTTGCGAATCACCTTTCCGCTCAACCAATGAGTTGTGCATACGTGTGTGCATACGTGTGTGCTGTTTCGGAGCTGTCAGTCCCAGATTTCTCGACGTGCTGCTCCATTAATTCATCGCAGTGCCTCACATGGGGCCGGCCGTCCCATACACAAGACGGGCAGACAACCATACAACCATACGATAGCCTCTTCCAAATCATTCTTTGCTGCTCATTATCGCGTTTCTCAGCACCGCGTTTGTGTGCAACCAAACAATAAGAACATCCTTCGGTAAGAAGAGCTGCTTGCGAGTGCCATCCTCTTCCTCCGCCTCGCCAGCTCCTTAACCCCAAATGCTAAGCAAGAGGACGAGCAGACGGGTCCTCGGGGTGATATCTTTGCGGTGATCCCGTTGGGGGGCCCCATCAGGAAGCTAATCCCCCTTAGAGCAGGGCGCTTTCCAGCACCCTGTTCCCCGCACCCTATTCCCCAGCCGCCTTGGGTTTAAGTGCCATGTTATCGAACCCAGGCCCCAGCCATGCACGCCCTCACGCCCTGCTAGGGAGGCCTCTTACCCAGTGCTCCTCAGCGTTCAGGGAGAAGTGGTACAGGATAGTAAACCTGCGGAGACGTGGGGAAGGGAGGATCTTAATCGCGAGAAAGTAGGTACGGATGCGGAAGAATCTGCCAAATGCGTGCGGGTTGGTCGGACTCGAAACACCACCCTCATTCCCGTCCTTACTGCGTTCCCCTCCGCTGAACTTACGTCGTGAGAGCACCAATAAAGCGCGACAGGTAAGTATCAAAGGCGTGGAACTCCTTCTTGATGGTGGCGCCCGCGTACGTGACATAGTCCGGGCCTTGGAACTCAATCGGGACAGGCTTGCCGTTGTATGTGCGGTGGTACAGGTTCGCACCACCTCCCCCTGCGGAGCCACGATGTGATGGATATATGCAGATTAGCCTGACCGGCAGAGGCGCTTTGGCCTTACCCATGCGCCGAACTTGTTGCGAGCCAGCCTCCTTCATTTCTGCAGCAGTGCTCCTCAGAGCACAGGCTGCGAGTTGTCCAGCCTTCCTAAACATATTGGCTCCTTCACAAAAGTAGGATGCCTATCCTCGGTACTTTTATTTGTGACGCCCTCCACTTCACGCAATCGTTTCGTCCCACAAAAATTCTATGGGACGTCGGAAATTTCTATTGTTTGCAAACGGGTGACAACAGTAGTTATGCCGGCACGGGAAACGGTAAACAGTCGTACACACTCTGAAGACAACTCCCTTCCTCTGTCAACAGAAGAGCACAGAAGGTTGTGAAATAATAGTGCATTTCATGCCTCGAATTCACTACTCGTTTATCGTCAGGAAAGCTGCTGTTGTTACCGAAGTGTAAAATGTATTAGCACCACTTTGCGTGGCCTTTTCCAGAAAGTACTTTCTTAATAGGGAATATCTTGAAGCGTTTTTAGGTAACGGAGCTCTAGATTCACCGAAAATGGACGAAGGCGATGAGCGCGCCATCCAGGAGTTCAACGAGCTCCAGGATAAGGTCATCATGCAGGCAGAAATGTTTCAAAGGGTGAGATATCAGCCTTGCAGTCTCCATTAAGGCGGATCAAATCGGCGACAGCTCCTTTTCCTTGTACTGCAGACTCAGCAGCAAGAACGAATGCTTGGCATTCAGCGACAGCGTTGCGTGCTCACCAAGCAAGAACTGCAAAGCATGCCAGACAGCACAACCATGTATAAAAGCATTGGCAGAGCGTGAGTAGCGTGGCCGTGGGAGTGGGGACCCTGGGGACGGTTGAGGGCGGTTGCTTTGCTAATGCACACGCGTGGCTATACCCGCACGGCTACGCTGCCATCTTCTGCCACAACGATTGGTGATGGAGACAACACACACAGTATGTAGGATTCGTAGGCGAAATGTACTACGTGGCGGTGCTGACTGGAACTGGCCGCTACCTTGCAGAGCACACGTATACGCATGGTCGACTTTGGCAGCAATCCCGTAGCTCGTAGCTGCACCTCCTCGCAAGGGACGCGTGTTTCAGCCGACATGTTTGCGACGGACCCTGTGTTCTTGTGTGCGGCCCTTGGGCCACGGGCATATAATCTGGGACTAGGCAGCACACTTTCTTGTGCTTTCCACTCATTATTTTCCCTCTCCTGCGTCCTCCTTTACTTTTGCTGCTTTACGAGATTTCTATCCTTGCCTATCATCCTAAATGCATGCCTTTGGGCTTCTCCTTCCGGTCCATGTCGCCCTCTTTTGAACCACCCCGCAGGTACTTTTGCAGCCCCAAGGGGGAGGTGCTCAAGGAGCTGGATGAGAAGGCGGCCTCGATAGAGGCCGACGCCAAGTCTCTACGTGAGCAGCGCGACGCGATCGAGAAGAAGATGAAGGACACGGAGGTGCAGCTGCGGGAGCTGATCGGCCAATCACCAGCACTGGTCAGGCGCCTGGGGGCAGTAAAGATTTAATAGTTTCTACTTGTGCTCAGCGCAGACGGCAGGACGAGCGAAACTCTTTGCTCCTGGGCTCCCTGCGTTTTTGCCACTTGGCTGGGAGCTGGCAGCCGATCGGTTAGGGTTGCTCTGTGCTGAGGCCTACAGGCAGGAGGCTGCATAAACCGATAGCTGCGGTTGCCGGCCATAGCGGTGAACGGCAATCTTTACAGTAGCGGCAGACAGGAGGATAGCCTATGGACAGCTATTGAACACGTGTTACAGTTGCCATAGCGCGTCTATCGTGCTGTGGCGGAAATGGCGAAGAATTGTTCGAGGAAGTGTTCCGAGTCGTCGTACCATCCGGTTGAGACTTTCCGCGTTGTGACTGTAAATTGTAAGCAGCGGTGGTGGTTTGGATGGCATTCAATTATGGTTAGGCATGCTAGGGACCGGTATAAACTTGTGTGCTTCGGCCGACCCCCTGTCCGGCCGACCCATCTTTCGAACGGCTAGTATAGCGACTATGATCTTTATTATGCGGAACTGGATACCCCGTCACTTGATGACCATAAATAACAAACGTTGCTGAGAGCGCACACAGCACAGGACGAACATTTGTAATGTAATGTAATGTAATGTTACAGAGTGGGAGGCTTCTGGGCCGCTTTATCACATTGTCAGTTCTACGATTTATCATCTTATAGCACCGTCCACCACTACCACACTATACTTCGCCATACGAACTGTAAGTCCAAGGCGGTGGGTCCAGCCGTCTAGGACCCCTCCTCATCCATTCACCCGAACAACCGAAGAGACGGAGGGTTCGGCAATCGCCACCAATCTAGCGTGCGAATCTGGTCCATCAACTGCGACCTCAACTCCACATCTCAGCAGCTAGCCATAATCTCGCGCTCCCGACTAATTCGGGGGTCTCCCCAGGAATCGAACCCAGGACCTTAAACCGCGAATCGCAGTAGTGTCAACCCAGACCAGGTCTGGGACGAACATTTGAATGGGCACTTTCGCTGAATCCAACCGTTATGCATGGAAAACGGTCAACAAGTTCTTTTACTCCTAAATTTCTGCAAGAGGAAACTGAGCGGCGAATTCATGATAAACCTGTGAAAATGGACACCCAGACAAACGAAAACGAAACTTCCGCAGAGCCAGCTGTCGCGGAAACCCCTATTCAGGCTGACACATCAGAAGAGCAACCCCGTGAAGGTCCACCAGAGTGCAACGTAACTTCTATATCTGAGAAACCTCCTTCCACATCAGGCCTCAGCTCAAGCGTTGCGCGTCCCCGCTGGGCGTCGCATGGACCCGGTGCCCTCTTATTATTTGGGGCAGGTTACCTCGTAGTGAAGCTCGTGAAGGCTTTCCGGCGACAGCAGCATGAATTAACAGAAGCCTGCAGTAAGTTTTGTATGGCGCAACAGCTTGAGAATGCAGACGACAACCCGTGAACGCGGTTTCACTTTACTGTGGCCACAGAACAGCTGAGATCAGCACAGGAACGTCTCACAGCCAAAGAGCAGGCTCTAGAACAAACAGAGGCAAGACGCAGAACTGAACAGGTGTGGACACTGCGGAGGTTTCGATTTCCCATCTCCGACATAAACTTTCCACGTAGGTTTGTCACCGCAGCTGCGCGGCTAGTCCTCCTCACGGACTCTCCTGGTCCTTGCTTTGCATACAGGATGCGCGAGTCGCAGAGCTCAGCCAGCAAATGGCCGACGCGCAGCGGGAGCTATCCACCACCCGGGAAATGTGCCGGCAAGCCGCTCTGAAGGTTGAACAGAGCATGTGAGTCCTGGGCCCAAGGCAACGACCAACCTGCTCATGCGAGATCTGGCCATGCCCTGCTGTTCGACCTCGCCACTTAAAACCGACCCGTCCAAACCTGATCCCGCTTTTCAATACCGGCATCCCCGCATCTCTGCTCACACAGGTCAGGCCTATCCGTCATGGATACCGAGCTCCGCGCCGCACGCGCGCAACTCAAGACCGCTAGCAGGGACCTGGCCCTCAAACACGCCCAGCTGGAGGCTACGGAGGGCGAGTTGGGGCTCACACGCAGCCAGAACGAGCTCATGAAGGTCGGTTGGGGGCCGCTGGCTTAGCTTGGCGAGTTGGGCTGGGCTGGGTAGAAATTGGACCAGGCAGGATAAGACTTTTTCGAGAGATATTGCTGAGGACCTAGCTACGGACCGGATCCCGGAGGAGGTTGTGCAGGGTACGAAATACTGCCTGGCCCAAGTCAGTTTGCTCGTCTGCCAGGTGTAGCACACAAGCTAGATGTAGCAAGCTAAGATGTAGCACACAAGCTAATGCACCCAACGTGCTAGGTACGGTTATGAAGTGGTACGGTTAGGAGTTATGCTGTGAATCCTTGTCGTGACTTTACTATGGAAGGACTTTATGGGAGGAACTGTAGCAGCCGGTACACAGTACGGCGCTATAAATACGCGCAGAGCGCGACCGCCAGCAACTCGAGAGACCTTTTCAGCGGTCAGCTGCTACATTTGGTATCGAGACCTCGTGAAAATTCACGATCCTGAAGTCGTCGGTTCAACCCCCACCAATCACAGTTGAGTGGAAATTGGGTTTGGCGACTCAGAGAGCGAATATCGCACAAATTATGAAAAGTAGCTGAACCGACTGGACTGTCTCTGTGCCTGAAAAATCTGAAGACGGCTAGGCGCATGTGAGCCGGCACATGACGTGACGTGGAGTAATTACCCACTGCCCGAGGGTAGGCGAAGGTAGGCACAGGCTGGCGGTATACGAGGCTCTAAGGGCCCGGGACGGTTCCCTTCAAAGGGGGGGGAATGTAGCAGCCGGTACACAGTACGGCGCTATAAATACGCGCAGAGCGCGACCGCCAGCAACTCGAGAGACCTTTTCAGCGGTCAGCTGCTACAGGAACACACATTTGTGTCTGGAGATGTACTTATGATGGCTTGGGGAGTGCACTTGTGCTTTGCGGCACCCTGTGGGCACGACGTTGGTGACCCCTACCCAAAGGCGTATGTCAACCGTTGACTCTCTCACTCCCCCTCCAATTCTCCTCCCTTAACGCTCTTCCTCTCCCCTGTTTCCTACCTCTGTTCTTGACCCTGTTTGGGGCCACTGGCGGCTCCACACTCGTCTGTGGTTCATCTTTCCCCCTTTTTGATGGTCACCACCAGCGTGAGGTTGATATCCTCCGTCGGCAGCTCCGGGAGGCGGGGCAGCAGCTGGAGGGATACATCATGGTCAGCAGGGGCCGCAAGAATGCTGCCGCCGCTCACCACGATTACGACTATGACGACACGCGCCATAGCCGGGCGGATTTGGAGGATGACCTGGCAGCCGCGGCGACAGCGGACTGGGGCCGCTTGTGAAGCCACTCACTCTCGCGTCCTCAGGATGCCCTTACAGAGGGAGGCGTCCTTATGGCGCACTTATGATGTCGCTCGAGGGGATGTATGTGTACCCTAGGGGTGGGGTGGGGTGGGGTGTGCATGCTGCAGCGCACTGCCAGAGCTGCCCAGGGCGGCTTGCTTAGGGTTTTAGTGGTTAGGGTTTTGGTGCACAGTGCGGCGGTGTGCAGTGCGGTGGGATTGTTTGTCCTTGGAATGAACATGTCGCGTGGTGTGATGCGGTATCACTGTGCATATGCGGACTGGGATGCAGCGCTCCAGTCCAGCTTATCTCCCCCTTCCGGGGGACGTGCATCATCATCATCATCACCATCACCATCATCATTAAGGTTATCCTTACTGGCTGGGCCTCATCTTGACATGGGATTGGACGTGGATGCATGAGTGGGAGGAATGGCAGGGAGGCAGGTTGACGGGCGGCCTTAGCTTCCGATGTTGCGCATCTAATAGGAGCGTCACATGGCTACGCAGAGAGTTGCCAATTCATTGTGGGATTGTGGCACCCTGACTGGTCTTGGGCTCTCGCGCTGGAATCCAGCTTGCAAGCGGAAGGGGAGCTGCGCAAGGTCCGACCACTACCTCACCGGCAACTGCAAATGTATCTTGCAAACCCAACGCGCAGGATGTGCGTTGCTTTTGTTTTGCGCGGTAAAAGCAAAACCTGCTGATGGAACGCCGCTTAGCTTTATACATGACCCATTGCGCGCGTTTGACGTTTGACGATATGTTAGATGGTGGGGCTCTTCAAAAGGATTATTCCCGAGATCGGACCATACACAGTCTTGGCGAGCAGAAGGCCTACGGGAAGGTTCAAAAAATAAAGGCAGTTTGAATGCGTGGGTGCGCGCGTAGTCCAAGACAAGACTGAGAAGACCAAGAGACGTATTCTCCTACGTTTTGTTAGATACCGCGGCTTCAATACCGGGTTCACTCTTCGCAAGTTTCGTGCGATTCCGTGTTGATGATGACCCCTGGGTCGGTGGTTTGCTGACATCACATGCCCAAAGTAGAATGCAAACGGTGCAAGAGCCCTTTACAACCTGCCGTGCGACAGGGCTTCCCTCCCGTTCCGGAATCTGTCCTCAGCCCACTTCATATAGATAGGCAACGGTCCAAATTAACTAAAGAGTCTCGAAGAAGGTCGACATTGGAGAAACCCGAAGTATTACTCAAGCAGAGGAGTCGTTTCCACAAGGATGTCGTCGAGCAAGACCTCGCAGCAGTCTGCGCCACCCCCGCAAAGCAGTAAGATGCCGACTGAGATGGAAATCCCGCGCGACCAGGACGCCCTGAAGCGCGCCTCTTCGCCAATCGCCACGCTGTCCAGCCACGTCGACCCTTACCCGCACTACATCATGTCGGGAGCCTGTAAGTAATTTCATCATCTTTTGCTGCGATACTGCTCTTGCCCTTCATTTATACCTGAGTTATGCTCGTAGGAGGTATTGTTTTGCGTTCCTGGTTTAGAAGAAAGTGGTGCTTGGGTATCCCAAGAAGGCTGCGCCTCAGGCCTTCAGTCGGTGTACGTTGCTTCTTCGGTCCCGGAAGCCGCGATGATTGGATTCCCTGCCCGACAGCGCGATAGCTGCACGAGCGATTTGCGACAACCGTTGCATGCCACATGAGTTCAATTTTAGAGGACAAAGTAGCATTGCGGCCTCCTCGTGTTTCCTGCACTCCTTACTATTTCCTGAAAAGACGAGATCGCAAGGATCGTGCTTCGCTACACGGCCACAGTGTGAAAGCCGACGCACTGTTAGCGTAGCTTCCTTCTCTTCGGGAAGCGCAAAACGTTTACCCTCGTCACGTTCGCTGCACTCATCACCACCTGAAAATTTCTCCAATAACCGCTGCAGCCCCCTGGCCCCCGCTTAAAACGCGTTCAAAAAGCTTAGTTAACGTGAAGTCCCTTTTTCCGCTTAACTCTTTGAAACTTCTTCCTGGAAAAGAAAGCACCCCGCCTCCGTCTCATTGTTTAGGTGCTGGTGGCGGCCTCTACGCCTACAACACGCTGAGGAACCCCCGGGTGGCGGCCATGGCGGGAGCCTTCTCCCTGGCGTACCTGTTCGCCGGGTGCGTGTGGAGTGTCATTTATGAGACAGGTGCTTGCTCGCAGCCATATCGCGACTTTAGAGCAGTGTTTTAAACTATGCGGACAGTACCTCTGATTTGGTCGGGTCATTAACATGATGGACAAGTAAAGGGGACAACCCTAAAGGGGATAACCCTTTAGGGGATATCATCATCCCCTTAAGGGGAACTAAATCATGTCCATGAAGTCGACTCCGAAAGGAGCGCAGCGCAACGGACGTGCGGGCTAGGGGCTAGGGATGTCAGAAACCATGCAGAAGCCAGCACCAAGCATGGCGCATGCGTGTTCTCCTCCTCCTGTCATGTTTTTAGAATGTTTTTAAAATAAACTTGGCACGGCCTATCAAATATTTTTTAATCGGCGGCCATCCCATCTGCAACTCCCAACGACATCTCCCGCGCGTCACCTCCGCACGCAGTCGCCTGTTGGTGACCGGGCACCCGCAGCTTGGGTACGACATCGGCACCATCACCTCCGTGGGTCTGCTGGCCACCGCTCTGCCAGCTGCTCGCGCCACCGGCGACACGTATTCGGTGGCCATGTCCGCCATGGGGGGTGCGTGTGTGCGTACGTGTGTGTGTGCGTGTGGGTGTGGGTGGTGCGCTGTTGGTCAGCTAGGTACCGTTTGCGACATCAACCCATCCGTAGACTTCTTTCCACGGCCGGCTCTTGCGATTTTGTTTTGCAGCCACAAGTTACAGCCACAAACCAAATGTAACGCCGTGTGGTGACGGACGAGCTGTATCCGCGTCTCCCTGTCCAGGGAGAGGATTAGCAGCGTTTTGGTTCATGGCTCGGTGACAGCCTTCCCCTTCAGTCGTTACCCTTCTGTAGTAACCCTTCAGTCGCTACCCTTCCTTACATGTGCGCTGTCTCCACTTCCCTCCGCCTGTCCAGCCCTTCCGGGTGACCCGGGTGGACGCAGGTTCACCCACCCACGCAGGTTTACGCAGGTTCACTCTTGATGATTGCGGGTCGCTGCCCTGTTGTGTTCTGGATTGTCCCCTGCCTGATCTCCTTCCATGTCCTCGTCGCCCCGTTCTATCTGCTGGGGGCTGCTGATTCACTGCATGCTCGTTGCATCCCTCCTCGCCAAACGTACGTGCAGGCATCTCGGTTTTGGCGAACCTGCTGAAGAGCTACCAACAGCGCACTGGCCTGCCACACGAAATGCACGAGAAGTGAAGACCAGGACAGGAAAGCTGTGGAAGGAGGATAGCTATTACTATAGATAGAAGAGGATGGTAGGGATATGTTGTTGCCGGACGACAGGGACAGCGGGCGTGTGTCATCGGGTAGTGTGTCTTTTCCGGTTGCATCGGCCATTGCACCAGCCCGTCATCTCGCCCGTCGGTCGCGTTTCCGGTGGCAGGCGCAAGCCGGTGTTAAGGGATGAGGATGGTTAGGCGGGTGGAGGATATGCTGTCTTAGCACGTCTTGCGAGGCTAGCACGTCGGGCGGGAGCTGTGTTCTCAGGACGGAGAAGAAGTTGTGTTGAAAAGTAAATTTCCAAGGGTTTTAGTTGCTCTCTTTTTGTCGTGGTTGCCCTCCTTTGTTACATCTTTGCCTGCGCGAACGGCGGCCAGGACGTACGTGCCATCGTACTTTGCTTTTGCCAACGTGTTAAGTGGTAGGCCTATAGGCCATAGGCCTAGCTTAGCTCGACGCCATGATGACGGTTTGATGCGGACGACATGTTCCATTTACCAGATTTAACCCAGTTTTTGGGAGTGCTATGAGACGGCGAGGAATCAACTGTGCGCAATCGCGCAACGCAGACGCGGCATTATACTACTGTGTTTAGGAGCTTGCAGCAAGGGGGGGGGGACGAACAAATGCTCTTCGAAAAAGCTTCCTAAACGCCTAGAATGTTTCTGTTAACACATGGTAACGTAATCTTAAAAGATAATATGCGTTGTATGTGCAGGCCGCTAACTATCATAGTAAAGGTTGCGTGGCATGCTAGCCCTGCCCGTTCAACCCATGCGCGGAAGCACTCGGTCCCGTGTGGCGCACCGAACGTTTTCATGCCATCGTACATGGAGGGCAAAATAAGGAGAAAACTACAATGCAAAAAGATGTCTCTAAATTTGCTCAATGGTCAACACCTGCACACCATCTCGAGAATCATGACGTGGCACCTGCCACCTGAAACACCTTTGTACACAATTCACCATTGACATACATAAGAGACGTCTCTGCGACCACGTCACAGAGCACAAAGCAGGCAAGAACACACAAAGCAGAAGTCGAAATGAAACGCCCTGCCAGGAAAACGCGGCCCAGGTTGCGCCGCGCGTCTTGTGTTGTAAAGAACGGAAAATCGCCGGCATCCGCACCTATGTACATGTAATGTGTGCCGCCTCCTCTGCGCGTCGCGGAGACAGATCATATGAAGTCGTTGTATGCCGCAAATCACGATTCACGCAACTTTTGCATTTCCTTACCTTGTTCGGCAAGCCTTCTTCGGCAAAATTCAGCTCGCCACAACAGTACACGGCAAAACATTATTAAGGAGTTAAACCAAACCTACTAACACACAAACCCTCCGGAATCTGCGCCACCGGATGCGCGCCCAGCGAACTTGCATATACATCATTTGACATCAATTCAGGAGAGCGCATACGTGATTCCGCAGTCGATGGTGTCACATTGATGGTGTCATGTTGATGGTGTCATCGCCTTATTGGCACCCCGTGTATGTGTGTGCATATGTCCTCCGTGTGAATTCATGCTTAATGTAGATAGATAAGCGCACACATGCTGTGGTTTATTCCATGCGGCATATACCCCGCTCTCTCCTTTTGAGCTCATCAGCCGCCCACCCACCCACTCGACCGATCCTTCTCCTCGCCCTCTTCGCGAGACGACCAACTGATAACCGTTTGGTTCGTCACTGCACTGCAGTAGTCCTCACGCAACTCACATCCACGCGCTCACCCGCGATGGGGGAATCACCCAGCCAAAAACCTCGTGCGGCGCCCTAACTCCCAATCCCGCCGCACTGCAACCTGAACTTGCCCCGCCAACCACACTATAGTACTCCTCCTCCTCCTCCTCCTCCTTCATGCGTGCAGCCCAGGAGCCCCTAGCAGTTGCTGCACAGCCCTCAACTGCACATCCCGCGGTTCGCAATGACCGTTAGCGCCCCAGCGATAATAATAATAACAATAATAATAATTAGAGCAGCCAGCGGTCACGACCTGAAGGCTGAAAACGTGCGATGACACCCCGACAGAACCCGACCCGACAGAACCCGACCCGACAGAACCCGACCCCGACAGGACCCGACCCGACCCAATTTGATGAAAAAATGGGATAAAGATCCCATGGCTTTGGGCACGACTAGTGAAACAGTCGGTGTTTCCCGCCGGCCTAACTGCGCACCCGGCACTTTCATTGCGTGCGTCATCAGGTTTCCAGTCAGCAATATACCTTTTTAGTATAAGTTAAGATAGCAGAAGATAATAATGATAACAATAATAACCACATAGGCTTAAAAGAATTTTGCAGCAGCAGTGCCCTAACAGGGGGCCGCGGCGGCAAAGGACGGGCCGGCGCGAGCCCTGCTACTGCCCCGCCCTTTTACCGAGCCACAAGCCTTCCATACGGCGCTGAACTGATGTCCTAGGGGGAGTGAGTTCCGGACAGTGCTGAAGAGCAAAACGTGCCAAAGCGGGACCCTCATTTTGAATCTGGCGTTGGTTGAAGCTGGCCACGTTCCCCCAACCAGCAAGGCCGCCTATCTAACCCCATGCCGCTTTCCCAGTGTGCGGCAACCAGGCGCCTTGTGCTGGAACGGCTTGGACTGGTTGACCCTGCGCGGGAGAGGAGGAGGGAGACCGCACACTTCGATGGACATCCTTTATGCGCCACGCCGGTATATGAGGTGCAGATGAGATGGGTAGCGATGGTTATGTACCGGGTATAAACATGTACGGGGTAGGGAGAGTAAGCGGCAGAATTTTGGAAACCTGCTGGTGCCGTGGTCCTCCTATGGAATAAGAATGATGTTTAAAAGATATATGCACGACTGAGGTTACAAATCTGTAGGAAAAGATCATGACCCGGCACAGCATGACCTTGGCTTCGCCGGAGGCAGCCTCGCCCCACGGCAGAGATATTACTTACCCAGGTGGGCTGGTCACCAGTGTTCCAGACGCTATCTTCCACCACGCCTACTTTGGGGTCTAGCGTGGGTGGCTTATCAGAAGTTTGCTGGTTACGGGAAGATTGCCGCCGGTCGAAGGCACAGCCAGCGCACGCCAATAGTAGCGTAAAAGCGAGCCCACCACCAAAGATAGCGCAGCCGATATAAAGAGCAACGCGCAACGGGCTTGTTGGCGTATCCTCGGTCGAGTTCGCCTCCGCTGCGAGCCACGCGGCTGCTGTTAGTCACATCTCAAGGCTACATCGAAGCCCCCGTTTCATACCAACCTGTGCTTAAAAGCAGGGTGATGAACCCGACTGAGGCAAGCCAGGGTCTTGGCAGCATGCCTGGCCTTACTGTCTATCGTCAAAGGTTTCTGTAACAGTACGTATTAGCATGCCAACATGGAATAGAATTAACGAAAACGTCATTAAAATTGAGAAAATACCATTAAGATTATAAGGAGTCAGTTGCTACCCGTTTTTTTCATTAAAGCGTTCTCCCCGCAGCTGATGGGCCAAGTAAAACATCAAGCTTCAGGCAACGCAGGGTTAGGATCAAAAAGCAACCAAAGCAATTACCATGGATGAACTGTCCAAGACCAGCGCGTACGACACGCTTCTTTCATAGAGTTTCATTTAAGCCAAGCTATGGCGTGGCGGTGTCATCATGTATGGATGATGGAAGCAACTCAAGGGTAATGATTGGCCGTGCCGTGTACGAACAGCCACTGCAGATGGCTTTGCGTCTGACTGGCTGGCGAGTCGATCATCGCACAGAAAGGCTTATGCAAAACCGCCACTTAAGCACTTGAGTTTTACAGCGCGGGAACGACACCATCCGTTGACCGCATATCAAAAACAGGACGCTACCCGAAGGGCTGCAACCTAAAGGCGGCATTTTAAGGTAGCCAGCCGAACACCAAATTGAAGTCAACAAATACGCCATGAGCTGCAACACACTCTCCCAACAACTACCGTTAGGAGCCTCACTGAACGACCTCGCTGTCGATCAGTTGCAAAACAACCAGCATGATATTACAATTTTATGGAAAATGGTTAAGAGCATCTGTTGCAGGCTTGGATAACCATGCAATCCGTCCATTATAATACTTGCATACAGCTGAAGCGGCCCAGTAAGTGCTGCGCGTTTATCCGGCCACCAGCCTCCTCCAGCCAACGCTGCTTTACTGCTTGGAACCGCAGTAAAACAGTCCACGTGTGGGACCGCCAGCCGCGTGCCTCAGCCAGCTTCCGGCAGACCTGGTCACCAGCATCAAAAGTCCATCCATCAAAAGCCCCCCGACCTATTTCAAAAGTCCCCAACAACGGCGGAACGTTGTGGAACGTTGACCAAAGATCCCCCCGCCCTCATAACCCTCCTGGGCCACCAGAGTCGCATCGCACCCGAGCCCGCGATTTAAAAATCGTATCTTCGAGTGTAGCATCCACCCGTAACTTCCAACAGTACGACAGTACGACACCACGACTTCCTTGTAACTCTTTCCCAGTCTGCTGCCGCCGCTGCAAGTCCGCACACGAGCCCTTTTCTTCTCCGCCGTCAAAAATCCGTGCCGTCAGACACAAATCAGTGCCCTCTCCGCCGCAAAACGGCTATTGTTATTATCCTGCTTGTGCGTTCTGTGCCGCGGGCCCTATGCATCAATCACTGGGACGCGTCGAGGAGGACGAAGGTGCTAGAGCCGCTGCATCCGCCGCCGCCAGCGCCGCCCGCTCCTCCTCCGTCAGCAGGTCCTCGAGCGGCAGCTGCGGCCTCCCCGCACCGCCATGCAGCCGGGGGCTGGTGCGCAGTCGGAACGCGTACCGCTCCAAGTTGACTGGCTCAAAGCCCTGCGGGGCGGGGTGGCGATTGTGGCATATTACGGTGCCATTAACGATCTTAGGGCACTACATTATCGTGGTGCTTCGCCAGTGGGGTGTGTGTGTCTGTGTGTGTGTCTGCCAACCGGTAATGGAAGTACGGCATGGCAGTGTCGGACTCGAAGAGGTCACGCCGGGGTTCGCGGATGCGGTTCGCAACAAAGAAATAGACCGGGGAGAGAAAACCCGGGGCAGGAAAGAGGCCATAGTGCTTGGATCCCCTAAAAAGCATTTGGATTCCTGCCAACCTGCCTGTCTGTCGGTATGCCCGTCCGTATATCCGCCCGCCTGCCTAAGACTAATTGCTGGTACGTGTTTATCATCAAGGCTCCGTTTCTCCAGTTGTGAAGAAGCTCAATGTGGGTTCGGAGCCCAGCAGTGGTTCCGGAGCGCGCTGGTCTCCAGAGAACATAGGGTTCAGAACCCATCAGCGGAACCCATCAACAACGGTTCCGGAGCCAGTCGCCAAGACCCCACCCCGGGCCCCAACCCGCGTACCTGCGGCACCGGCCAGCCCAGGCTTCGGTCGCCCAGCGTACGCGGCTTGGGTACGTACGGCACCAGCGGGAAGTCCGTGAAGGGGTGCTCCGCCTCCGGAAAGATCTTCAGCTTGTCCATTCGCACCTGATGGGACAATAACACCAACATCAACGTCAACATTTGACAGTAATAATTTACGAACGTAAAACATACATATCAACGTATGTATTGTACCGGATTCTGCGGGCGGGCTTGTTTTCCCTGTGTTTTTTTATGAACCCTTGCGAGCCCCAGCTCACCTCCCGGCTCTTGTTTTTGGGCAACATTCCGTTGACTGCGTTCCAAATCAGCTTACGAGGGTCCTTCTCCCACTGCTCCTGGGCAGTTCGCGCGCGGAGACCTCCAGGGAAGCCTGGAGTGAGGGCGCAGGTGGAGGGAGGGAGGATGATCTGGTAATCCCCGGATGCCGCTGGGACTGGGACTCCGGGGGCTGGTCTGTTTTACCTGTGTGCCACCGATAGAGCTTGGTGGCCCATTTGTCATGTGTGAAGTGCACGTGCGATGCGTTGACCACGACGACGACGTCGCCCTGTTCCTTCTTAGGGTTGTAGGTGGGCTTGTCCTTACCCTGTTTGGTGAGTGCGGAGGAGACTCGGGATGAGAGATGATGAACTGACCCAAGTGGGCGGGTTCTGAAGGGGAAGCCCGTGGTGCGCAATATGAGAAGAGAACTTAGGCTAACCTGCAAGAGAATGGAAATCTCCTGCGCCAAGCGCCCCACCACCTGCATAGGTATTGGGCGGTACGGAAGGAAGGACCGAAAGGCCGTCAGCACCAGCGCAGGTGCCGGCTTTGAGCAGACATGTATACGCGCACCTGGCCTTTGGCATCTATCAAGCGAAACCGGAGGCCTTCTAGGTTAATACGTTCCAAGTCTTTCAGGTGCCTGATGAACTCATTGGTCTTGGACATCACGCTTATCGTTGTCTGTTATCTATATTATGCAGAGCGATGTAGCTATTTCATATTGTGTAGCGGCCAGGCGGCATCAAGGGGAGGACGGGTCGGGTCTCGTGCATGCGATGGCCGACCCTTGACAATTTAGGGCAGCTAGCAGGAATTTTCAGTAAACGCTCCTCTCGCGAGAAATCCTGAGTCCAAGCCTGTGTAAATGAAGTAAATGTTTCGGAGCTGCACAATTGCACTTGCCATTTGGTTTGCAGTGAATGCCTAATACATCTTACTAAATGCATCATCATAATATATGTTTGCTGCACCTCAAGATGATACCACATAAACATTCTGGACTTGGTTCTCCTCGGCCGCAAACGAAACTGAATGAGACTCACAGGATTTGGGCACGACCCAGTTTAAACTTTGCTGGCTCTTTCATTTTAGCACGTATTTTTAATCCTGTCAAAGGCAGCTCTGTGAAAGGCTCCGGGGGTGCAGCTTCGGCAGGTGGTCGTTGCTACCGTTGGTCAGTCAATCGCACAGTGCCAAGGGCAACGGTTACCGTATCGGGCGCCGTATCCAAGGGAGAAAAGCAAAGCTCCGGAAGTACCAGAAAATTTGCTTCTGATGATGCTGACGGGGACTTTCCGGCAGCTGAAGGTGACGGCGGCGCGCGACTGGCCACAACACGCCGTCTGAAGATGGTACGCCACTGCCTCGGCCTTACATTGGCCTTGTCCATGCGTTGAAACCATGATTAGATCTGATCTCACAGCAAGAACCGCATGGTGCCAGGTTGTGGCGTACGACGGGTGCGAATTTGCTGGATTCCAGTTCCAGGCAGGGAAAGTGCGAACGGTGCAGGTAGGTCATGGATTGATTCGAGTGAATTGGCGCAAATTGGCGTCTCTCGGAACTGGGACGGTGCGGCCAAACATGTCGAAATGCCATCTCGGGAGGGGGAGCGCTCATTACTGCTGCAAATTTCAATCGGGTCAATTGTGATCAAAAATTTTAAAGGAGGGTGATGATGACAGTGTATGGAACAAGCAAACGTGATGAGTTCAGGCCGCGGCTCAGCGGATACATGGCAGTGCAACATCCAACTAAATGTGGTCAGGAGGACTATGCTTGCTTGGAAACTTGCCGGGTTCTTAGCAGGCGGTTTAATAAGCGTTCAGTCACAGTCACAACGCAACCCTCCAGCCTCTAGATACATTAAAGTAACCTCGTAACTCAAATATAGAGCTGACGGCAAGAAAAGGTTAAGAGATTACGGCGGGGCACGATGGTTCCGTTTCATACGTACCTCTGCATGCCCGTACGGCTGTACAGGGAGAGTTGGAGCGCGGTGCCAAGCGGCTGTTCCACGGCTGTAGTCGAATGGTGGGCGCATCTCGTACGGATGGCGGCGCGCACGCGTACGGCCAGGTACGACTGGCTCCGTTGCGCGAATCTGTGATGAGATGATTGCTGACGTGGACCGAGGTCGCTACAGCGCAATCTAGTTGTAGATGTCGGCCTGTTCGGTAGTAGGAGCTGCCGCGTCTCTTCCCTCCGAATCTTCTAGAAGGGGTGACAGCCCATTGACAGCCACTACCCCGGGAACGTGTGCACACACACCCGACATGCCTTTTTTTATGTGGACGAGCAAAAGGTAGGTCCGTCCAGGTTTCACATGCTGCCGTGTTGGCTTATTTGACTGTGTACGACAACTCAGGTGGTCCATTTTGACGTGTACGGCACCCGCGACAGCCTCGAGTCTGACGCGTTGTACTACAACTCCTTCCTGCCGCCGGATGTACGGGTGCTCGGCCTGTCGTACGCAGAGGACGGTAAGATGGTATTTATGTATGTATGTCGCTGTCCCCGTCAAGCCGTCCCCGTCAACGCGACGACCCAGCAATGTCGACTGCCGCCGATTGCCGGTGCGCCGCCAATCCCAACCCCGTCATTAGCTCGTCCTTCACACACATACACACATACACACATACATACACACACATACACAGACCAAGCCTCCTCTGGATCCGTCCCACCCATCCCGGGGTCCCCTGCCGCCAAGCCGATCTGTCCCGCCAAAATACACACCCCGCCATGTGAGGGCATTTCACAATGACGATGATGTCGATGTCGCTGCCGCTATTGCCGTTCGTCGCTATTGCCACTGCCACCACCATCACCACTTCCGCCGCCGCCGACCCTGCCGCTGCCGCCGCCTCTACTGCCGCCGCTAACTCCTAACACCATTGCAACGCCTGCTAATGCCGCTACCGCCGCTGCGGCTGCCACCGCCGCCGCGGCTCGCGACGACGAGTCCAGGCTTCGACAGCCACTTTAGCAGCTGCGGAAAGACGTACTTGTATAAGTTCGCTGCGGGACTGCCGGACCCCTTACAGGTAGGTAGACGGGGCGACTGACGTCATGTACTGCTAACTAATTGTACTGCTAACTAATTGTACAGGCTGCACATTTGCTGTGCGAACCCTTCGCTAACATCCCCTGCCGTACACCTGTCGTACTCGTGGTCTCGCCAGTCCAAGTACCGCTGGTGGGTGTACGATAGGTGGTGCGAGCGCAGCCGTGGCAAACCCGGGAAACTGTCTGACGTGGAACTGGACGTGGGGCTTATGCAGCAGGCGGCGGACATGCTGCTGGGACGCCATGACTTCAGCGCCTTCATGGACAACAAGCGACCCGCGGGTCAGTTCGTAAGAATGTATCTATTTTAAATGTTTGTTTGTTTACCTACCTATCCATATGTATGTTTGTTTACCTACCTTCCATATGTATGTTTGTTTACCTACCTATCCATATGTATGTTTGTCCAGTGTGGTTCGGGATCGGGGTGCGTGCGTTAGGTTCTGGTTCTGGATTTGGCGGTTGGGGTAGTTAGGGTTGGTTACCGCAAATTCTTATGTTTTACGTTCTTTCCACCTACCTCTCCCTCTCCCTCTCCCTCCACCTATACCCCCACCTCTTACGGAAGACTAACTGTCCCCCTTCCTGTTTCTCCGCTGGCCGTTTGAGAGTCCGTCTATCTGTCTGTCGGTCTGACGGCAGTTCGTCTGTCTGTCTGTTTGTCGTCTGTCCCTGTCTGACCCTAAAACGAGCACCAATAGCCGCCGTGATCGTCGTCGTCGTCGTCGTCGTCAAACCCATTCACATGAGAGGTACACGCCCGCACATTATTTTTTGCCGTTTCCTGAGTTTCCTGAAAGACATCATTTTTATTCTCCCACCTTCGCACTTGTTTGGCCCCCGTCCCATTACCCTCTCATCTGCTTGTCCATCTGTCTGTCTGTCTGTCTGTCTGTCTGGTCGCTGGCGGCGGGTGGTGCTGCTGGCGCCGTATCTGGCTGTGGGTGAAAGGCCTGGGAAGTGCTAAACGGAAAAACCCCAAGGTATGGCCCTCGGCGGGAAGGCAGGGGGAGGGGGAGGCGAGAGGGTACTCTGGTTGCGTATCTAAATGCACTAATGCCCAGAAGCCCTCTTGCTCCCAAGTGCCTGTAACACCCCGTAAGGGAACATATAGCTCGTTTGCATGAGGCACCGCATGGCACGGTACGGCACGGTGCGGCACGTCGAGGTGAAAGGGACGGAAGCATTTATCCCTTGTGTAGTTGGTAGCTGTAGTACGTCGACGTTAGTTTGTCAGTGAGTTAGTTAGTTGTATCATGGAAGCGGAGGAGGGTCATCAACCACCTGCTGCTCCGATTACGTGGGTACTTCACGATGAATGCGACGCGACTGAGTCGAATGGGTTTGAACGAATGGGAATTGCCTTGTCGCATTTTTGTTTGCCAATCCCCAATCAATACACTAACAGTACTTAACACTTCCGGCACTCACTCACTCACTCGCTCGCTCACTCTCATTCACTCACTCGCTCGCTCACTCTCACTCACTCACTCACTCGCTCGCTCACTCTCACTCACTCACTCACTCGCTCGCTCACTCTCACTCACTCACTCGCTCGCTCACTCTCACTCACTCACTCGCTCGCTCACTCTCACTCACTCACTCGCTCGCTCACTCTCACTCACTCACTCACTCGCTCGCTCACTCTCACTCGCTCACTCACTCACTCACTCACTTCGGAAAAAACGGTCCGTTTTCGCGGATGAGTAGGCCATCGTCTTACCACGGTCTTACCACACCGCCTCTCCGGCCCTCAACCTTCCGGTTCCTCTGTCCGTTACCTCCCTGGGCCCCCCCTGGAGTTAGCTGGCGGAGAGGGGAATAAAACCCGAGCGCACTGCCGCCAAAAACACACGGTGGGTCAACACACAAGCCACACACACCCGCAGGGTACTAACCTTTCCCCGTACTCCCCCGCTACTTAACTCGCTCGCGCTCAGTACGCTTTGTTACGGGACTTTAATGCATGTGTATGGTGTGTGGGTGTGGGTGTGGGTGTGTATTGGGGGATGTTTGGAGTCTCTTCCTCCTTTCTCCCGCCTAGTCATGTGGGGTCGCTTGCAGTTGCGTCCTAGGCTTTGCGTCATCAGGTAGCTTCCCTTCGCCATCCTCTTCCGTATCCTCCTCCACCCGCAACCTCCTTCCACGCCCCTTCCGCCTTCCGCAGTATTCTCAGCCAGCTGCGGCTGCATGAGAGCACGAGTCCTGTAAGCGGGGGTCAGGAGGTGACGATGGAAGTGACGGGAGACGGCTTCCTGTACAGGTGGGTTTCGTCCAATTCCGTACATATACGGCAGGCGTGTACGTGTACAATCCATACATGCCAAGAAGCCATCAACCACCAAACATTTGGTCCATGTCACTCACCTCTAGATGAACGGGGAACCGACACATTCCGTACACTGCCGTACATGCATCTACCACGGACCTTGAGGATGGCGGTTTATTAAAAAATTTGTACGGATGTGGCCGCCGCGCGATGAAAAAAATACGATATCGTAATGCAGCCCCATTGCATTTCCGTACCGTACATTTCCCCCCTTCCCCTTCCCCTTCCCCCTTTTTTTCATTCCTATCTGCCCCCTCTCCACCCCCTCCCCCTGCGTAGGATGGTTCGCATGTTAGCCTCAGGCCTTGTGGAGGTCGGCCACCGCCGGCTCGCCCCCACCGCGTTGAGGGACATCCTTCTGCGGGCGGACCGCTCCGCGCTCCCGGAAGCCGGGCCCCCCCATGGGCTGTATCTGGCGAAGGTGCACTACCCCGGCGAGCCTGACTTCGAATCCAGGATCCAGAGCTTTGCACAGCGGATGCGAAACGAATTCCACGGATCCGCTGGATTGTTGTCTCCATCATCATCATCATCATCATCATCGTCGTCGTCGTCGTCGCAATCGCCATCACCATCACCACAAGTAGTGCCATCAGCGCTGTCCTGGGGTCAAGACACAGATCCCGGAACTGGATCTGCGCCATGTGGAGGTTGTGAGGTGGACGGCGGCGGTGAACTGAATGCGGTTGGCCAGTCAGGGCGACGGGGAGGAGGTAGCGGGGGTAGTGGTGATGGCGGCGGTGGTGAGGAAGGAGGGGCGGTTGAGGAGGAGGTTGTGGCCTTGCTGAGGGAGCTGCGGCAGACGCAGGGGAAGAAGGCGGCGGCGTTGATGCGGGTGGCGGCCGCAGAGCGCCGGCGGCGGCAGCAGCAGCAACAGCAACATCAGCAGGGACAAGAGCAGTATGGCAGTGGGGATGACGGCTCTGAAGATATTGGCGGAGGTGGATCCGGGGGTGGGGGTGCGGATGGAGGTATGGGGGGTGGCCTCGCTGTCACCGCCGTCACTGCCAGCAGCAGCAGCAGCAGCAGCAGCAGCAGTAGCAATGACGGCGGGAGCGGCATCTACGGCGGGCGTGGAGGCGTCCTCGGGTTGTACGACGTGGGGGACAGGGAAGACGACCAGTAAAGGCGGTCAGGGGATAGTTTTTAATTTAACAGGATTTTTTCGGGTTTTTTGATGCGGGCGCCGCTGCGTACGAGGTTTTCACGAGGTGGAGGCCCTGCCGGCGGGCAGGGGGTGTTGTTGGATGATTACAAGTTAAGTGAATCGCGGCGGGAGGGAGGAAGGTGCAAATGAAGGCGATCACATATACAAACACACACACACACACCACCTCTCCATCGGTCGCCCCTTTATTATTAATATGTATCACACCTTGAGGCTTCAGGTTAAGGCGTATTTTCCAAGTTAGGTGATCTATCTTTCTCTATTATTATTGTCCTGCTAAAACAAGACAATCCAGATAATATTTGCGGCGCCAACTGGGATCTGTTTTCCAATTCGTCTATTATTGTCAACTCAGCGGGGCACAAGGACGAATTCCTATGTGGACGGATCACTGTCCATGTAGTTTTTTAACATGTCGATTACTATTAATATCCGATGCACGCGTTCAGTCTGGCCGTCAGTCAGAGGGTGAAACGTAGAGCTCATATCCGGCTGAGCTCCGACACGTTTCAAGGGAGCGGACACGAAACGCTCCCGTGAATTTCGTACCGCGATCAGATATGATGCACCGCAAGTGGACGAGACTTCAAAAGCTCCGTGTGCTCACCCCCCGCTCTCACCCCCCGCTCTCACCCCCCACTCTCAACCCCCCTCCTCTCCCCCGCTCCCACCCCCCTCTCACCCCGCTCCCTAGGGAATTGCAAACTGGACTGATACCATAGCAGCTAGGTCCGTTTCCTTCACTTCACTTAAAATAGTGGTCGTGCAGTTCCGCTGTGGGCAACCACATGCCTGCAGGTGCCTGCAGCTGCCCATGCGCTCACCGATGAGCTCAAGGCCTGCCCAGCACTGCCCTACCCTACCCTGCCCTGCCCTGGCTCCATAGGACTTAAGTTTTTGTTCCATTGTCTTGAGAGCTGTGGGGGCGGGGGGACGGAGAAGAGAACGGCACACAAAGGTCCGTATGAATGTATTACAGCATTACATTTGCCCTCCTGCACCTGGACCTGTGCCTCCACCTGCACCTGCACCTGTGCCTCCACTGCTCTGGCAAGGGGGGGTAACACCCCATCTTCACCCACTCCTGGCCCACATAAGCACACGCACACACGCGCGCGCGCACCACACACACACACACACACACACACACACACACACACACACACACACATACACACACACTAATCACTTGGCCTTTTCGGACATCTCGCACTGCTGCTGCTGCTGCTGGTTGACTCCCATTCTCGGGACGTCGCTTTACATGGAACCCCCTCGCGCGGGGGCCGCTTCCTGTTTTAACCTCTTCCCCTCTTTCGGGTTGCGTTGGCACAACTTGATTATTGACGCACTTCGAACACTTCATGACACGCAACTTGAAACACATTTGCCCCGCTTTGACAAGTTTTCTGCCCCCTGATACATACAGACCTTACCTCGGTGCATACAGACCTTCACCAACGGGTGCACCACAACTCTCCGGTGCGCGCGGGTGCGTGTGTGTTTTACTTTCGAGGCGTTTTCCGTCATGTCGCTACTTAAGCGTTTCTTACCCCGCCGGACGGATGTACTGCTGACCTAAGTATGCCCGCATCTACGTATTATATATCACTATCTACTCTGCCTGCCAAGCTTCCTTCCTTTCCCCTCTCCTCCACATTTTGAAAACTTAGGATTCATCACGCCTGTTTATGCTTTTTTCGGGACAGTTCGAAAAGCAGCTCTGGCGAGCGATACACGTTGATCAGCGCCCGGAATAACTGCTCCTCCAAAACCAGCTCGCCTGCGGGGATTTCACCATCATCGCAGCAGCAAGATTATAGCAATAGCAGCAAGGTGAAAGAGTGGCAGTAATAGCGGCGAATCGCGACAGATGCAGCAGCAGTAGCAGTAGCAGTAGCAGCAGCAGCCGTAGCGGTAGCAACAGCAGCAGTAGCAGCAGCAGCAGCAGTAGCAGGGAACTAAGTTGCGCAAGAAGTATTGTGTTATGTATCCATGCGAGGATATAGAAGAAAAAAAGAAGGGAGCCCAATACGTAGAAGCATGAATTTCTTCGAGCGTGAAAAGGGTGCGCACAACACCAGAAGGAAACAAACGCAAAAGATCCCTAGAACCTAAACCGCCTCTTAAGTATAAAAAGCCCACAACCCCATAAAACCACAATAAAACCACAATAAAAATTCCAATAAAACTCAAAATAAAAACCCAAATTAAAAAAGGAAGTATTATATAAAAAACTCAAATAAAATTTTTCAAATAAAACCCCCAAAATAATAAAAACCGAAACCGATAAAGCAGCTCACCTTCCGCCCGAGCCACGTAGATGTCCTGGCAGAGCGCCACCAACCTCCTCGTGGAGGGAAGATCCTCCGTCGGTATCCGCAGTCGCAGCGACGACACGGACAGCCGCAGGAAGCGACCGATCGCGAAGACGAAGGTGACGTAGAGCCCGGTGATGCCGAAGCGGGAGAGTGTGGCGCCCTGGGGGGCCCCGGGACGATGTCACACGGAGGAGGCCATATGTTGGGGGGACACGGCAAGGGGGAGGGGGGGAGGAGGGAGGAGGTCCGTTAGGTGGGACACGTCACGAAGATACGACATTGCAGTACAAAGCACGTGTTTTCGAAGGTATAATGTTTTCATGCCGGGGTTTTAATAAGTGTGACAGGTGGTGGTAGGTGGTGGGTGGGGAAGATGTGGCAAGAAGCCCCGGCCCGCCCCACGGCCACGGGCTCTCCCCCCTTTCCCCCCTGCCCCCCCACACACGCAAGCACGCAATACACACAAAACCCGCCCTCCTGAAGCTGTACACTAAATCGTCATGCATATTCATATGCCCGTAAACCTTAGCACCCACCAGCAGGCCACTCTGTACGGGCTCCACTACCGCGACCAGCGGGGGACCATTCAAACCCGGGGACCCCCCTGGAGCACTGTTGCACGGATCCGCCAAAGAAACGCCGCCGTCGCCGCCGTCGCTCATCTCGGCGCCGCCGCCGCCGCCTCCCTCGGGGCCGGCTGGCGGCAGCAGCGCGCCGCATTGAAACGACCACCACTCGGCGCCGCCGCCGCCACCGGCGCCGTCCGCTCCCTCCCTGGACGCGTAGCAGCCCACCAGTGCCGAGCCCCAACGGTCTGCAACAGCGTCAGCGGCGGCAGTGGCGTCGCCGCTACTGCTCCCCCCGCTACCGCCACTCCCGCCACTACCACCTGTGCCACCAGTGTTATCGCTCCTCCCTCTACCCGACCACGGGGGCAACCAGGCTACGCGACGCCTGCGCCAACCACCATAACCACCACCGCTGGTGGTGCCGACAAGACTGCTACCACCACCGCCCCCGCCGCCGCCGCCAACACCACCTCCACCAGCTCCCGGCTGCGAGGTATCACCGCCTCCTCCCCCTCCCGCCCCCCCTCCTCCTTGGTTTAATCCCAGCCGTACACTGCAGGTCTCCCCTTTGAGCCGTACGAATAGAGGGAACAAGCCGGGGGAGCCGTCGCTGCTCGGATCGGTTTGGTTGAGAGCCGTAAGGAGGGTACGATTTGCCGTACCGGATAGAACCTGGCTCGAAAAGGGGGGTTTATCGAGTGGGGGAGGCAGCAAGAACGATGTGGCGCCAGATGACGGTTGCGGTTGCGGTTGCGATGGGAAGATGAAGACAGGTTAACTAATCAACCAACTAACCAACCAGTGTTGTACACCTGCCCCCCCTGGCCCGTGTGCCTTTCTTCCCTCCCCCTAGCCCCCCCCGCCCCCAGCATCCTCAAGTCCCCTCCGAAACCGAAACCCATTGCCGTACCTCGGCAAGGCCCCGTCGGGAGGGCTCCGACAACGGTACGTACGTCGATGCCGTACAGCCCGGACCACCGTACTGGGAGGTCAACGGCGCACTGCGCGTGAACGACCAGCCGATCTGACAAATAAAAGAAAAGAAAAGGGAAGGCAAGTTTGATTGGCGGGCGGTTGGCCAGGAAAAGCAACTCGGGGTACGTAAGGATGATAAGAACATGATGATGGTGATGATGACGATGATGATGACGATGATGATGAGACGATGATGCAAGATGACATAAAAAGGTCGTTGTGAGGTGGTTGCTACCTCCATACCAGAAGAAACCTCCCTCACCTCCAGCACCAGCGGCGCCGACTCCCCCCCCGGCCCCGGCCCCGGCCCCACGTCCCAGGTCTGATTCCCCGGCGGGGGACTGAGCAGCAGCAACTCCAGAAGGGCCCTACGTGCCGGGGGGGAGATGCGCCACACTTGATCCGACTCCGCCGCCATACACACGCCGATGGCCTGCGAGGGGCCGACGGAAGGGAGGGGTTTCCGTACATGTACGTACATACGTTTGTAGGTGTGTAAGTGTACCTACACCTACATCCACAAGCGTACAACGCAATACGTGCCGCCGTACCTACCTGGTCAGGTGCGTAGCCCGCCAGAGCCCGGGGCAGTCCACCGCCGCCACCGCTACCACCGCCGCCACCAGTACCGCCGCCGCCACCTCCGGGCGGCTCGGAAGGGCTCGGATGCGGTGGCGGCGGCGGCGGCGATGATGGCGGCGCCGCCGCGGCCATTATCCGCATCGCCGTCGCCGCCGCCGTCGCGGCCGATGGCGACGGCTGGGTCCCGAAATGAACCAGACCGCGTCCCCGTCGCCGTGGTCGTCGTCGTTGTGCTGCGTCGTCCGCTTCCGTTGGCGGCGATACCGGCGGCGGCGGCGCCGCCGCCGCTGGCGGCGGCGTTATGGGCGCGGTCCATTGGAATATGAGTCTTCTATCTCCGCTGACGAAGAGCGGGAAGCGCTGAACACTGATGGAGTTGGGACCGCCACTCAGCTGCGCGGTAGCGTGCGGGTTTTGCGGGGGGTGGCGGGGGAACGGGAGGGGCCGGGGGGAACATACGTGAGAGCGTGGGGCATCGTGGAGGGTGTCTCTGCGTGGGTATCCAAACCCGCACACCAGCTGTTCGGCTCTTCTCCC